TTATACTCTTCGGTCTTCTGTATTACCTGCCGTAGCGTATGAATGTGGTCTATGGTACTGAAGCCTTTGCGGAAACCAGCTTGTTCGGGAGGTTGGAAGTCGTCAAACCTGCGTGCGAGACGATTCGTAATGACTCTCGAAAACAACTTATAAACATGGCCAAGAAGCAAGATTGGTCGATAGTTTTTCAAGAGTGCTTTGTCACCTTTCTTGAAGAACAGGACAACCCCACTTCTGGCCCATGCTTTTGGCGTTCTGCCTTCAAGGATGATGGAGTTGAAAAGCCTCTGGAGGACTTTAAGTATCGGCTTACCGCCCGCTCTCAGAAGTTCTGCTGTGATTCCATCATCGCCCGCCGCCTTGTTGTTTTTAAGTTGTTTGAGAGCCATACTAATCTCATATAGGCTGACGTCCGGGATATCTTCAGTGTAGTGTCGAGTGAGCTTGGCTCTGGGGTCTCTAGCCTTGCTTTCAACAGGTGCTTGCGTGGAATATAGCTGTCCATAGAAACTCTCAATCTCCCTCAGGATTTCAGCCTTAGACGAAATGATGCTACCGCTGTCAGTCTTCAGCTTTGTCAATTGGCTTTGCCCAATAGACAGATTTCTCGCGAACACTTTGGAGCCTTTGTTGCGCTCGATAGCCTCTTTGATACAATGTGTATTAAATCGGCGAAGATCGCTCGTCAAGGACTGTGATATCTGTCTATTTAGCTGCCGGTACTGAATTGCATCTCCTGAATTCTGTAGTCTCATTTCGTTCCGCTGTTCCATGAGTAGGAGAGTTTTGTCAGAGAGTTTCTTAATTTTGGTACGGTGGGTTTTAAAATACTTGGACCCTACCGTACGGACAGTATCTACCACCGTGTTGTTTAGATCGTCCACATCTAGGCTGTTCTCAAGAGACTCGAAGCGGTTTTGAAGCTCGAGTTGAAAGCTCTCGGGGTTCTGTAGTTGTGCAGGCATTGGTCGGAGCGTCGACTTCATCATTCGAGATCTTTCGAGCTTTATGTTGATATTCAATGTGCCTCGTACTAACCGGTGATCACTTCCCGTTTTAACGGCGTTAATCACAGAGACATCATTGAATATTAGCTTTTTCGTCGACATGATAAAGTCGATCTCGTTTCGGACTTTACCGTCCGGACTCATCCAGGTCCATTTTCGATTTTGGGGTTTCCTGAAGAAGGAGTTCATCATATAGAGGTTCTCCTTCTCCATAAAATCTACTAACATCTGTCCTCTGGCGTTCCGTTGTCCAACTCCAAATTGCCCCACTCTCAACTCATGACCGCAACGCTTCCCCAACCTTGCGTTAAAGTCCCCCATCACAACCGTGTAGTGTGTTTTGTAGCTATGCATGGCTTTAGTGATCTCCTCATACATAGCTTCCACTTCGTCATCTAGGTGCGTCGAGGTCGGCGCATAAACCTGTATGACATTCAACGAATATCGTTTTGATATTCTGAGTATCAGGTATGCTACCCTGGTCGACACACTTCCGATGGTGATGACGTTGTGGACAAGGGACTTGTGGACGATAAACCCGACACCGCCTAGGGACTGTTGATCGCCCTCCCGGTAGTATAGCAAGTTACCGGAATTGAGGATTATCGAGTCCTCTCCCTCTCTTCGGACTTCAGATAATCCAATAATATCCCAACGTAACTTACTAATAGCTTCTTCCAACTCTATTAGCTTAGCATCGGTCCTCAGTGTGCGCGTGTTGTAAGTTGCCAGGTCGAGTCGTCGTAGGTGGTAGCCGGATCTTACCCGGGGATTCTTAGCACCCCTTGCCCCGCCGTTACCATAGCTGCTACCGTGGCTAGGAATAGCAGGGCTGCCGGGGACTGGGGGCCAATCTTTAATTGTGCTACTCATTTCTTGGGGGGGTTTTGCCATAATCGCCACGCTTGGCAGGCGGGTTGGCGATCGCAGTACAGCCAAGATATTGTAACAAGACGCTGCTGCCCGTCTTCTGCTGGCTGTGTTCCCTTAGTCGCCTTTTACGACACCCACGGGACGAGAGGGGTGGTGCTATTCTAGGCCGGCACACACACGGCACGAATGAATAAAGATGAATAAGATGAATAATCTTTCTCAAATGTTTTCAAGACCTGTGCGGGAAGTTGTATATCAATATGGATTGTCAACATTCCATATGTGGATTCGAAGCATGGAGTGTTTTTTACACATTTCGTATAATTTAGATTTTGAAATGTGGAGTGCACGAGGCGAAAACAAGAACCTTAAGATGTTTCGAAAGAACATGGTGCAATCGGATTTTTGAAATCCAACAGATGGGACTTTTGATTGATCTTGTGAAGCAGGGCTTTGGAACTACAAAATTAAATGATGGGAACACGGCCAGGAGATTTTTCCGAGAATACGAAAAGACAGCTCAAATAACGAAGATTGATGCTGATTTGATAAAACACTTCACAGTCATATTGCAAGTGTTATCTTCTGGAAAGGCTGTCAATATCGATTGATTCCGTGGATACTGCAAGGAGACTGCTGAACTCTTTGTACATCACTAGTCCTGGTACAACATCCAGCGTACACAAAATTCCAATACATGGCGCAAACATAGGCAAACATTTCTCTTGTCTTCCTATAGGAATTTTGTCAGAAGAAGCAGCAGAAGTAAGAAATAAGGACTTCCGAAATACCAGAGAGCGCCACACGAGAAAAACAAGAAGATTTCAAAATAATGAAGATATTATACACAATTTTTTGATATCTTCGGATCCTTTAACATCTCATCTGAAACCTAAATACGCCAATTTTAAATTATCAATTATGTTTCCGGAGGTGTTGCAGTTATTAATAACAGAAGAAATAATAGAAGTTGAAGATGAAGAAATAGAAGCTCCACAAAATGTGCCAGATCCTTTGGAATGATTTTTAAGTTTTCTTATATTCATTTATTACTTTGTATTATTTTGTATGTTTAGTTTACTTGTACCATTTTATTATGTTTTTATTCTTCTTGTTTAATCTTTATATATATAATTCTTCTGTGAGTGTGTATGTCACTGAACTTCTCTTAAACGACTGGACCGATTTTGATGAAATTTTTTGTGTGTGTTCAAGGGGATCTGAGAATGGTTTAGATTCACAATTTTGTCCGCTGGACAACCCCTATTTTTTTAGGGCGGTACGAAGTTCGCTGGGTCAGCTAGTATAAAATATAATAATATAAAATAATTTATAATTTTTGAAATTAAAAGTATAAACCACCTTCGATTATTACATTCTATTGTAAGAATTATGCAATAAACAATTTTCAATAATTATTTTATTTTGTAATTTGATGTCTGTGTTGATATAGACAATTAAATATTAGTATTGTACTTTCCCAAAACCACTTAACAGACTTAAAAGAGTATTGAGTTTACATAGTACGTCATGATATTAGGTTCATCCGCTAGATCTCCTGTTTCCTCGTTTTCTCCTCCAAAACTATTGTAATATTTGTTTATTCATCATCATCAGCCTATTAATGTCCCCACTGCTGGGGCACAAGCCTTCCCTATGGATGGAATAGGGAGATTGGGCCATGACCCACCACGCGGGCCCAGTGCGGATTGGCGGGTGCTAACGACTGCAGATGCAGCCGGGACCAACGGCTTAACGTGCCTTCCGACGCACAGAGGAACTCGAGATAGAAAATGTTTGGTCACCCATCCAATGACCGACCACTGCGAAAGTTGCTTAACTTCAACGATCGCAGCCGAACGCGCTTACCACCTGCGCCATCGAGTTTTACCATATTTGCATTATTTGTATATTTATGGTTATATTATTAACCAATACACGCGAAAAATCCCATACAAAATTCTAACAATTCCATTAAACTATGATTTCTGGGATAAATTTATCACATGTCCTTTCCTCACCCCAACTATCAACCTACCTAGTACCTATATACCAAATTTTCTTTAAATCGGTTCAGCGGTTTACGCGTGAAAACGTAACAGACAGACAGACACGGAGACAAACAGGTAGTCAGAGACACTTTCATATTTATAATATTACTATGAATTTTGATTTATTGGAAGTGCCAATAAGTTTTGTTTAGGGCAAGTTGGGCTTTTCAGCTTAGGTTACATCACGGTATAGCAGCGAGGTTAAAGTATAAAGTATAATTTGCTATATTTGAAGAGGTTCTTATTAAATAATAAAAATAATAACCTTTATTATAATAAACTCTATAATATATTACAATTATTATTACAATGGACTAATCGGGATATTCTTATTAATGCAAAATTATAAAATCTCTTTAACAAAAAATACATTTTCATAGAAAAGACATCAACGCGTTGATTTCTTTTGTATCGTGTACGCTTGTACGGGCTACGTTAGGGTATGAAATCCTCATGGTTATAATTTTTATTATTTTTAAAGCATGTAACTGCTTGATGTTTAAATCTAAAGAAAATATAACTAGAAAAAATTCCACGCGGACCAGGCAGCAGACGGGACTCGAACCCGCACCCTTCGCAATCCTCATGGTTGTACTCTACAGCCGCCAGCAAGGTTAGGTCAGATTCTTATTGACTAAGACACACCCGTAGTATATGCTAATGGCTAGAATCGTTGCAAGCTTAATCTGAAGTTCTCGATTCCTGATGGTGATGCGATCGGGCTACCTCTATTGATTAATTGAGTACCCCAGAGACAGATGTGGTGAGGACCAACGGCTAAACGTGCCCTTTGAAGCACGAATTTCTTCTTCGTTTTGGTGGTTATTTAATACTTCGATGTGAGCCTGAACTCTGTATGATATAAGTAAGACTGAAGGAAATTTAAACTTAGCTTTTAAATGAGAAACTTAACCGGTATCTGAAATAGACGGGATTCATTGCTCGCAATCAGAAGAGTAGAAGAAACTCTGAAATTAATCTATAGGCAACAAATTTCTAGAAGTGATCCAAAAACTTTGAAGTTTCTTTATTAGTATTACTGTACTTTTTAAAGTAAACCTCTATGCAGGTGTGGCTGACTTTTATTACAAACTTTTTGAAAATAGAAGCGTGGTTGCTGCGGTGGTTGCTGTGGTAACAGAATAAACAAAATCGCTGCATTGTTGTGACAGACAGGTATTAGGGCAAAAAGTTATTTTTATTGATTAATTGCTATTGTCCCAATAACTATAATGTAAATATTGCAGTAATATTGATACATAAAGTATTAACAAGTTAATAATATGGCTGATGTAAGTAATTTTGTAATTAGTAATAATTGTAAGCATTTAAAATATATGGATGCTTTCTTGCAGAATTTCTACTACGACTACAAATTAGTTAAGAACTAAGTAGATTGTGGTTTCAACTTGAATTTTCATTACCAGTGTTAGTGGTTTTGTAGAACGATATTCCCAGTTCAAGAGTATCCAAAGCCAAATTACAGACTAAGTTTAGCAGTCATATTTGCCATCATTACCACGATCATTACGTTGTTTTTTATAACTTTCCCTATCCTCAATATTATTTTTTTGTTCTAGAAAGAAGATGTTGATACACGTCTTGAGTTTATGAGCGAATATATTCTCAAATCATTGAAAATAAAATTAGATAAATGGACGAAGTTTATAACTGGAGACGAAAGGGTAACTACATATACATACCTAACTATGGCTTTCATTTAAAATAAATATTTGTCTTTGAAGTTGTTGCTTGTATTTGAGGACCTTCATGGTATAGTGGCTTTTACATAGGTCTTAGGACCGGGTTTGAACCCCTGCTACGATCATGTAGAATATACTGTACAAGTAGGTAGTCACCATACAACGATGAAAGGTTTACCACTATAAAGGACGAATAAAATTTACCTTAATATGCGATTCAAATAAAAATAGGAAAGCCAATGACATTCATCTGTCAAAAGTCGCTTGAAAAGTACGGTTGCAAAAAAAACTTGGAGCACTTTTTTTAGCACTGAGCTAATCTTACAATAAATACCAAACATGTGTAAACAAAAGAAGGAAATAAATCATATAAAACGTATTGAAAATGAGTACTGGAAAATGGAAATCAGTACTGAATAAGAACTTTGGTTTTATTATTAATACAGGTAATAAAAAGACCGTTTTCATTTTAAATCGATTAATTTAATTATCGATTTTTTTGCGAAAGTTTCAGTGATGATGATAACTACTCCGACGGTAGTGCATAAATGAGTGGAATTATAAAGCTACATTCTGATTAATGTTTTTTCTCACTCAGTCTTAATAAATAAATATTTTAGAAATCTTAAATTTTTTCTCATTTAATCTTGGTAAATAAGTTTTATTAAAGAAAATCTTTTTGCTCACTCTACCTAACTGGTTTGAATTGTCAGATATGAATCTCTATTTGCCTATTCGGTCCTATTCGGTCTTAGAATCGCATTGTATATTTCGTCTGCTTACTGCGAAAACCATATAAATGCACCTTTTTACGAAATTGAATTATGAACACAGTTATACGTAACTTTTTGTGCTCTTTCTACTGGTATCGGATTTGATTAAATCGGATAAATGATAAGTCATACGGTTGCAAAGATAGCTAGGATGAAAACCTTATAAGTACACATTTTGGAAAAAATATACAGTAAAAACATTATAAAAAATCATAACGCATGCGTTTCCTTGTTATTTTAATTCTTATTATTCCTGGCTATTGTAGCTACTTGAATTCTTTAAATTTATATATTTTATAGGTTGTTTTATTTATTAAGCTCATAGTAAAATGAAAACAAAGTCCTTTACATCTTAACCAAATTTGTGTATCATTTTGTATGGTGAAAAACTGAATAAGAGAAAAAAATAACAAATTCTCTTCAAGCAAAAACTGATAAATGACAAAAAATTTATAGCTGTATGTCTAGCTTTACACAGTGTAAAAATACTAAAGTTACTCTCAAATACAAAACACGATAGCATTAAGTTGAAATTAGACAATTAAGACGGTAAATTCCGAAGATACAATACATTCCCTAATTTCAGGCAAAACCTGATAAATGCACACCCTCCTTTGTTAAAATTCAATTTAAAACAGTTTTTACTGTTACTGTACACAAAATTCAGATCACATCTATAAAGAAGGGCGTTTGTTTCAACATGTTTCAACAAAGATCAGCCTGTGAAAGATTATTATATTACTTTAAGAGGAGCCCAAATGTTTAAAATCGATTTACTCAGAATGCCACATTCTGCACTTATTCGGTTTTCGCAGTAAGCAGACGATTTCATAATACAGAAAAAACTACACTAGAAAGAAGATCATGTATTTTGGCCTATATTTAGAAGCATGAATATTGTTTTCAGCACATCCTGTTCAGATATTTCGATTTCCCGAAGTACGAAATTATAGTGTTTCGCATGAACACAGCAGGTTTGTTAACGTGCTCTACGACGTTCCCACCAATAAGCAGGGGCAAGATGATATATTTCTTAAGAAATTCACCTGATAAAATCACCCAGACTAACTTTCGTAAGGTATTATTTTTTATATATTAACTTCAATAACTGGTATATGTATTATCACTTACTTGTTATTTGGGGCACTGAATACCACAATGAGACACCTCAAACATTTGGGTACTTACAACTAATGGAAACACACACCTGGAAACAGTTGGGTACTTACAACTAATGAGACACACGTAAATGTTTTTATTGATACCCTAAGAAGAGTTTCCATTGGTCTACACTCTCCATACCGTAGATACGTATAGATTGTCAATCCATTATTGTGAAAAGTATACCTAATAGTAAAATAATAATTATACTCAAATATAATTTTTATTATTTTTAAAGCATGTAACTGCTTGATGTCTAAATCTAAAGAAAATATAACTAGAAAAAATTCCACGCGGACCAGGCAGCAGACGGGACTCGAACCCGCACCCTTCGCAATCCGGGCGAATGCACTGACCAATTATGCTACCGCGGCCCTCACGGACCGCGTCGAAATTCTTTCTAGCCATTCTTAAGCTGCAAGGCAGCGCCATCTCTTCGCATTATAGGTAAACCCACAATGTCAAATGAATACTTTTACAAGTATTAAACATTTGAAAGAAGAAATAGCAATTATAGTTATAATTTTTATTATTTTTAAAGCATGTAACTGCTTGATGTCTAAATCTAAAGAAAATATAACTAGAAAAAATTCCACGCGGACCAGGCAGCAGACGGGACTCGAACCCGCACCCTTCGCAATCCGGGCGAATGCACTGACCAATTATGCTACCGCGGCCCTCACGGACCGCGTCGAAATTCCTTCTAGCCATTCTTAAGCTGCAAGGCAGCGCCATCTCTTCGCATTATAGGTAAAGGTAAACCCACAATGTCAAATGAATACTTTTACAAGTATTAAACATTTGAAAGAAGAAATAGCAATTATAGTTATAATTTTTATTATTTTTAAAGCATGTAACTGCTTGATGTCTAAATCTAAAGAAAATATAACTAGAAAAAATTCCACGCGGACCAGGCAGCAGACGGGACTCGAACCCGCACCCTTCGCAATCCGGGCGAATGCACTGACCAATTATGCTAATAAATATAAATAAATATTGTGGGTTTACCTATAATGCGAAGAGATGGCGCTGCCTTGCAGCTTAAGAATGGCTAGAAGGAATTTCGACGCGGTCCGTGAGGGCCGCGGTAGCATAATTGGTCAGTGCATTCGCCCGGATTGCGAAGGGTGCGGGTTCGAGTCCCGTCTGCTGCCTGGTCCGCGTGGAATTTTTTCTAGTTATATTTTCTTTATACTCAAATATGTTATTTTTTCGATGACATTAATATCCAAAGGTAACAACGATTGGTGAGATGTCAGGAAATGTGCTCATGGACATCAGCGTAATGGCAGACGAGGTGATCGGGCCCCTCTTATGTAACCCGGAGAATCAACGCGGATGGCCAAAGATAGTCCGTAACGACATGAAGCGCCACGTTGACGATTTGAGAAATTTGATGCATCAGGTTCGTTTTATAAAGGAAAAACTATAGATTTAGGTACTGTAGGTAATATTCGATGAAATATCATGCACGAACAAATTAGCGGTTACCCACCCAACGGCGTCTTCTTGGATTTTAGAATGGTCCTATTCAATTCCTAAGGACCCTAATTCTTGACTCCTTGGTATAGTGGTACTATTACTACTACTAATACAGAACAAATTCATTGTCTTATATTCCTGTTTACCCTTGACTGTTCCCTTGATGTTATAAGATATATTAATTGGCCATGAATCCTAGCCCTCGCCCCCTTATTCTTTAGGTTCATATCCGTCCACTAAAATAAAAAAATAATGTCCATGATGTCGCATTTGTAATTGTAGTGGTTTTATTAACATTTTCTAGCTCAAAGGAGAGATGTCAAGTCAGGTTATGTTACCGATGCCCGCTGGAGTGGAAAATATTTATCACGCCGAAGCGAGGTTAAAAGAAAGGTATTATAGTTAAATAACTTCATTTAATATAGAATTATCGAATCTAAAATGTAGCCAGCATCACTCACAGGGTTAAATATAAAAAACGACCTTTCAACAAAATTACTGTTAACTTTATTTTATTCCATATTCAGTGATGGAGAAGACGTAGATTTATACTTGAAAACAAATATAGAGGGTGCTGTGATAAAATGGGCACAGCAAGTGCATGATTTGCTCCAAGAAGATTCTTACATTGGTGCGTAGGTATTTAATTTCAAGGGATTACCGACAAAATATGAATATTGTTTTAATATTGATGTTTAATTTTAGCTTTTAAAAAGACAAAGTTCCCATTACCTATTGCGGATATCGAGTTCTACGTAGCTCGATTGAAGAATTTGGAGGGAATCTATTCACAGTTGCGTGATCCTAGAGTGAAGCGTATGGCGCATTACTTAGAGGACACGCGTAGTGTCTACCTCAGCTGTTTCAAGACTATGCTGACTAATATTGTGGCTGGTAAGTTTATTTTGAAACCAAATTCCAGGAACTTCTTTATTTTTAACACACACTTTGAAGGTTACAATCCATATTTATATTTTTCACGTGAAATATTTGATATTTGCTTTATTTATTTCTGTCTTGCTACTTTCAATCGGTGACTTCATAATAAACTTCATAATAAATACTTAGCTACATAACTTTTTCTTAGAATAAAAATGTATGAAATAATTAAGAGAAACTTATAATATAAGAGATAAAGCTATCCTTTAGCCATCTATCTCTCTATCATTCAGATCATTAAATATAGGTAATCTGTTAGGATTTTTTGCTTTTAGTCATTTAGGTGTAGAATATAACGTAAATTAACCTATGTTTATTGCCTCTACGTACACTATTATTTTACATCAATAAATTAGTATATCTAAATTTCTTTCCATTAGATGTAAAGAATAGAGAAGTCAAAGTCAAGAAAGTTAAAAAAAGGTTCTAATATAAACCAGACACTCATTAGACGGGTTCCCTAGACAAGATTTAAAATTTGATTTTCAGCAATAGTATTTTTTTCTTTGCAAACAGTAGGTTATTATAACAGAATAGCTTAGTAGGATTTTAATCTGGTTTTATTTGTTTTGTTTCAGCGATTGTTGAATGTCGAGATATCTACATATACCAGAGGCCACTTCAACAACACTTTGAGACATTCGAAGGCACAGACTTTTCAGATGCGAAGTTCCTTATCAGACCAATGTTTCATTGCATCGGCCTTCTTTGGGGCAACTCAAGATACTATTGCAATGTCGAGAAGCTTATACGTAATACCTGTATAATTATAGACCTTTTTGAATGAATGAATTAAAGATTGCAAAATAAATAAGTAAATTCTATTTCTTTTTATTTACAGCATTACTGCGAGAAGTGTGCAACTTAGTGATTCAACAGTGTACAAATTCTATAGACCCAGCATCTATTTTTCAAGGCGACGCCGATGAAAACTTGCTGAAACTCAGGAAAGCAACGTCTATTTTAAAACATTTTATGTACGATTGCGATTTTTATTAATTTAAAATCAATGTTAGTCAGATTAAAATATATATTATAATACATATACTCGTATATGTATTATAATATATATTTCATAAAAAAAAATGAGATTTTAAGAAAATTTTGTTGTTATCGTCGAATTGTTTACGATTAGATTGAATGATAAACAAGAAATGGCCGAAGAAACCTTAGATTACTTTGCATGCTCTTCAACCCTTTTATACGATCCACGTGCTCCAGAGTACCTGAAATTAGATTCCATTTTCTTGGCACTTCCAATCAACGTGGTCTTCGCTCGTGCAGAAATCTCGCACTATAAATTCCCGTTAATCATTAATTCTGGCTCTGGATTCAAATCTTTCACTATCACTGCTGTACGCCTGTGGAAAATATAGTTGGCTCTACCACTAAGCATTCGTAGTAGTCACAATAAGTTTAAAAAAACGTGTGCTTGAACACTACCTGACTACGTGATTTTTATACGGTATATATTATAAGTATGATTGTATTTTATGTATGTTATGCATATGTATATATATATGTGTATATATACATTTACATATGTATGCTTATTTTTATGAGTATTTTATATATGTGCATCAATTTGTATTTAAGTATGTATTTATAGTTTTTATTATTTTAATATTCATTTTATTTAATTTTTAGGTTTCCATACCTCAAAAGTAAAAAGCGGAACCCTTATAGGATCACTTTGTTGTCCGTCCGTCCGTCTGTCAAGACCGTTTTCTCAGGAACGCGTGGAGGTATCAAACTGAAATTCATATCTCATACTCATGTCTACTGTCCCTTGGAGCTGTGAAAAAATCAAACTTCTAAGCCAAAGCAATCAAAAGATACAGCCGTTTATGCCGCAAATTTTCGAATTCCCACGGGAATCAAAACCTACAGGGTACGAGTACTTCCCGTCAACTAAGAATCTTGAAATTTCGTACGAAGTAACGTCTTATAATTCAGATAAAGGAAAAATTGCGATAACCGTAACTTTTTAGTTATTATTGCTGCATTTTATCGAAAACCGGTATTTTGATGTAAAGTGATTACATAAACGTAATTAATTAAAACTTTTTATAACCGGACAATTGAATTTTATATAATTTGTTTGTATTGTATTGAAACTGACAGTTATTTATTGAACTATAAAAAATATATTGAGAAATTAATGTTATCGAGTACCTAACTTGCGTTAATTTTCTCAATATAATAAACGCGCCTGTAATATATTCAAATTATATGGGTTAGTTAAAGCTAAGGGTTTAGTTCACAATGGAAAAACAACATCTTAACGACTTTTAATTCCATGCATTTATTTTTCATCTGTATTTATCAGCCATCTTAGCAAAAATAGGGTTCATTCAAAGTAAATCTTATGTGTAAAAACCTTCTCAAAATAGTGCCTCGTTTATTGGTCGTCTCGCTTTATTAAACTCAAAACGTATGATAATAAAGTAATGTAAACAGCTTTGTTAGGAACATTTACTAAGAAAGAGTTAACATTTTTAAAAACAACCATAAAGAACGATTATATCCTTCTTGACATCTCGGTGATAATAAAAAATAATATGTGATATACATACTTAATAGACGTCGATAATTGTTTAATAAAATCAGATTGAATCGTATTGAAAGTACTGATACATGTTCTCTTTTCATAATGCCTAAATCAATGAAATAAAGGGAATCTCGAACCGGCAAATCTTCAATCATGTCTAATTGCAGAAAGGGAGAATTGCGTTAGTGGAGGTCGTCACTTTTTTGGGCACGAAAATCTCTATAGATTTTTTCCTGCGCTATCAGTTCCCTGAAGTATAACAGTATCATATATAGGAGCACTTGCCAACCACATTACATTTAAGACATCCATGTCTTGCATTAAAATTACATGCTTCTAAAAAATAAAATCGCAGGTACAATAGATTAATATGCTAAATTACTCAAAATTTAAGCATCTAATTTTATTCGAATAATTAATTATAGTATCTATAAGATATTATGACAACTTTAGTTAATGCTCTTATTGGAAAATCGCATAGAACAGCCCGCAGTGTTATTTTGGTGGCAGCTTCAATTTTCTGTCGTGTTTTATGTATATACGCACATTGGGACATTGTTTTAATGTACTAAAATACATTTTCAGCATAGCAATAAGGCCATTATGCCAATATTGACCAGAACCAATTGGTATTATGAATATATTTGTTTATTTGACAATTGAAAAGTGGCTTTTGGAACTCAACAGAGGAATTAATTGACCATTTTTCACATTATTACAAGTGTATTATTTTTACTGGCTTCGCTTGTGCCTTCATAATCTGAACTATCACTTAGATATAATTTGTCAAATATTTTATTACTCCGTCTTCTTCTGACTGTACTGTTATAGAACTGCTACTCGTAGATCTACATTTTCTGCTTCTAGCAACTTCATACTTTTTAGACTCACTCTGCCCCGAAAGCTTCTCTTAGTTGTAAGAATATTAGAAAAAAAAAACTTCTCTTTTAAAAGCACCGTTATAGAGAAAATTGTCAAATAGTCGTATAGAAGTTAATACCATGTTTATATACGACAACAAGTTGTGTAAAGATAAGAGGCTCTATGTCGTAATACACACTAAAATTACTTCAATGCGATGTTTAAAGCATTTTCAGTCGCGTAACTTTTAAATATATGACTGAAATGTTTGTTGGGAATATCCCAATCACTTAAGTTTCTCGTGATGACAAGACGATGTTCCGAAAAAAAATATCAATCTTGTCCTAACTATAACGAATGTAGTTATACACTGTTATACACAAATCTGGGCTTGGCATAAGATAAAAAAAATGTAGCAGTTGAATGTTTGAAGTTAAAATGTAAAGATTGTCTTTATTTTAGAGAGACATACGAAATGAACCGCGATAAGGTCCATACGTTCTTCCCTGGCGGTGTGATGCCGGTGCGATGGTCCTTCGACTTCGACAGAGTGTTCATGCGGTTCAACATTTACATGAAACGGCTGGCCATGATCGAGAATATCCTAGAGGCCACTGTCGAAATACTCAAACTGGAGAAGGTTGAGTTCTGCGGTCTGAGAGGCAAAACACTTAGTAGCGAATGTATGAAAGTGAGTAATTTCTGGCCATTTTACGTACGCATAAGAAAATATTTTATTGTAGCGATGTATAATTTTTTTTTTCTTTCTATGCTCGTTATATGATTTTGGTGTAGTTATACTATAGTTTTCAAGTAAAATCTTAAAAGGTAGTCTAAATACTAGTTATATATTAACATTAAAACTTGCTGACCCAGCGAACTTCGTTCCGCCATAAAGTTAGAGGTTGGCGGTAGAAGAGTGAAAATTTAGGGTTGTATGTATTTTTTCATGCCACATTATAAATAAGTTAAAAAAATTGTCCAAAAAAATTATATGTTAGTGGTGGACAACCCTTAACACTTAGGGGTATGAAAAATAGATAGTTGACCTACAATCTCATACCTACTGAATATGCATATAAAATTTCGTAAAAATCGGTCAAGCCGAACTAATATTGTGACACGAGAATTTTATATATAAGATATATTTTTCTAGGTTCTTGAAGATTATACTCTGAAATATCAACATTTAGGAAATATTAATTACGACCCAGCAGATCCCGAAGATAATAGTTTCTTGCCTGATTATGAAAAACATATTAAAGTGTTGGAAGACATTGATCGTCGTTTGGCATCACTGCTTTCACAGGGCTTGGATGAATGCCATAACTTACAGCATTTCTTTAAGGTACCGTGTTTCTTTATTAACGTATAAATTAAATTTACGACATCATTATTATGAAATTTATATAAAAATAAAAGCAATATTTTTATTTTCAGTTCTTTCAAATCATTGGTGACTTATTTCATCGACCTATAATCAAGAATGAGTTGAAGCCGAAACTAATGAAGTTGTTAGATTTAATGCACGCTAATTTGGATGCGGTCAAAGAAATTTATGATGAAGAAGTAGCGGTAGGAATAATATTGAATTACAGTACCTAATAATTGGGATCAATTAATGGCACTTTTCCACATAATTTTTGCTAATTTCCAGAAACTAACCAAGGGTCCAGAAAAACCCATGGTAGATCCTTATCTCCCACCAATTGCAGGCCTTATTTGGTGGATTTACAAGTTGCGACGACGCATTCAAACTCCTATGGAAGAGTTCATCGTATTTGAGGATCCGTAATAATATTTATATATTGTTAATTATATAAAGAATGAGATAAATGCTAACTTTTCAAAACAGATAAATCTATGAACTTATAGGGAGTTTTAGCAGTGGGGACATAAATAGGCTGATGATGATGATGATAGGGAGTTTTATGGATTCATCATCATCATCAGCCTATTAATGTCCCCACTGTTGGGGCATAGGCCTTCCCTATGGATGGAATAGGGAGATAGGACCGTGACCCACCACGCGGGCCCAGCGCGGATTGGTGGGTGCTAACTACTACAGATGCAGCCGGGATCAACGGCTTAACGTGCCTTCCGAAGCACGGAGGAACTCGAGATAGTAAATTTTTAGTCATCCATCCAATGACCGACCACTGATAAAGTTGCTTAACTTTAATGATCGCAGCCGAACGCGCTTACCACTTGCGCCATCGAAGGGAGTTTATCGATGAATTAGCAATACCTCACTCTTTTTTTCTACTACCATTTAAGAATACGATTCTGTAATGCTGTTTTAGTTTGTACAGTAACTGGGTAGTTCATTTCAGGATAATTGACACTGAATATGCAATATATATGAAACAAAAGCATAATGAAATGTTGGGTTATTTCAATACACTTGAAGACCGTAACTTCAAACAATGGTGTGCCACGGTACCCGGTATATGCAAGATGCACTTAGCTAAAAACCTAATCTATAGAGATCCACCCTTTGTGAGAAATAATTTCAGCCCCGAGGTGAGTAATTTGAATTCAATGAAACTCATTCACCCGAAGAACAATTCAATAGTATAATATATTGTTTTTTTTTTTAATTTGAATTTATTTGTAGCTGGTAATGCTGCTCCGAGAAATACGGTATATGAAATATCTTGATAAACAAGGCATACCACCAGATGGTTTGGAACTTTATGCACGAAATGAAAAGCTCCAGGTAACAGAAACTTAAATTTGAAAATTGTTTACTGGTCATTTTAGGGCGTTTTACTTATGGGATTTTATTTATATTATATGTGGTGGAATTAAATATCAATACATGTTTACAAGTTGGATGTCATCTTTAATTGACGACACTGTATGAAATAAATCATGGAGGAAAATTGCAGCTCTTGTTGAAATTCTTGCCTGTAATTCTCAATACAAGGTTTCTCGTCGCAGATTTACGAACTTTGTTGAATTTAAGATATATTTTCAATTTCTCTAGTACGATATGAACCGTTTGAATCGGGCCATTGCGTGGTACAACGCGATTCGGGAAGGGAGCCACGAAACCGAGGTGGCTTTGATTGAAAAGGAGATATCTGCGATTGACAGTCTTCTTGGTCGCGGTGTTGAAGAACTGACTTGGAATGACGATTGTGAGTTTTGATCAATTTAATATAAAAATATTTAAAAATCTAGCATTTAATTTCTGCTGCTTACAAGTTACAGGAATATTATTACTTTTTTTTTAAATAAATACCTAACAAATAAAAATATTGCAAAATGCATGCTAGTAATGCCAATCACTCTACATTTTAAACAGTTGAAAATTCTCTGTTATTCTCTCTGAATTGTCTGGATAAACATAATCAGAAAACCTTTGTTAGTCATAACGTAAAACAAATTCATGCCGACAGAATTTCTAAATTACAAGACCAGCATTAAAAATTCAAAGACAGTATAAAAAATATAAAGAAATGTGTGTGTTCTTCCAACAGGAAGTTGAGGAGTAGTTTCCCATATTTTCTGTTTTGTTAATTTTCTTCAGTCACGGAATGGATGGCAGAAGTGTACACAGCGATAAATACATTACAAGAACGTGTGTTAACGGCACAGAATAATGTGAAGCACGGATTAGCCAACATAGCGGCCTGGGGTAACATACCTCTTCATAACCGCAAGGAGAACCCTGATAAAGTTGAACTGCTTGCCGTCAACGAACGTCATCCACGCTTCCTACGACGGTACGTTATATATGTAGTGATTTAGAGTGTGTTATATGCTTAATGATTTAAATGTAGTAACGAAAATAGCTTGTTGTGTTTATTATAATCATTATAGCCACTTGACTACTGTTTTTAAATAAACTTTTATTTGTAAATTGAGATTTAAACAATATTTTGTTTATTTTTTCTGCAGACTCGATATCTTGCTAGGAAATGAGTTTATTTTTATAACATTTCACTACAGCTGGAGTGTGTAGCTATTTAACTAGATAATTAAACTCGCACAAATACAAAAGTTTATTAACCCTTTTTTGAATTTTATTTCACAGCCGAAATAAGATTTTAGAGAGCCACGCTGAATTTGTAGATATCCTAGCGCGAAATTATAAATTATTTTTTAATATCAGGGATGAAGAGGAGGTAAACCATTTTTTTAATTACCAATTTGTAGAATTGATAATAGGAAACAAATGATTTTTTTTTTTTTTTAATATGTTGTGTCTTATGTTTCGTGAAAAAGGGTAGTGTTATTAAATTGAATACCAAAATTATTTTAGTAACTTTGATATTTAAATCGGTAGGCAATTTTGTTGTTTTCTATTTTTATTAATTATTTAAAATGCTAAATATATAAGGAAGAAGAAGAGGAAGAAATGCTCGAAGAAGTCGATGAGTCTACTCTTGATGAGGATGAGAAAGCTGCTCGAGCTGCTAAATTGCAAGAGATATTGGATCGGCAAGAAGAAAAACGAATTGCAAGAGAAGAGCGTGAGAGAGAAAAAGCGGAAGCTGCACAAATTAAGTTCGAAAGAAGAGAAGCAAGAAGACTCAAGAGGGAAGCTAAAGAAGCTGAGAGGCAGGAGCGTCAAGCTAGGAGAGATGCTGGTATCTATAATTTTTAATATGATAAGACACAGACTTAATTAGTTGTCTTATACATTGACTGTACAATATTTTAGGCGAAGAAGTAGATTCTCCAGCAGAGGATGAAGAAGAAATAACGGATCCTGAAGAGCTAGCAGATATAGAAGAAGAAAAGAGAGAGATGGAAGAGGAAGCATTCAGAGCAGAAAGATGGCCTGCTTATATCAAATACGTAGACTCTCTTGTAAGCAATTTGGCTATGCTCATTTAGTTAGTTACTTTTCACTTATTTTTAAATTATCTCAATTGTCTTATATTTTTTACTAAGGTCTCAAAGCAAGTAATGAAAGCAATACAATCAAGCTTAGACTTATTTGAAACAAATACTGACTTAGAGAAAGGCCCGAGAATTGCATTCATGACAGTAGTAGCTGAACTGAAAGACCCAGGTAATTACATATGCTTATGAAACTAACAAAATTACCATAATATTTAACGGGGGTGGAGTTCATTTTTCAATTTATATCAACAGATATATTTTTTTCACCATCGTTGGACACGGATGAAGAAAAGGGCTTATACGATACGCTCAAAGAAATGATGAAAGACATGTTTTTACAAGCTACTCTTTTCCCTAGAATCGACCCAATCATAGAAATCACATCTTACGAAGGTAATGAAATGCAAATCATTTTCATTTTTAGAGCACTTTTAATATTTAAAATAATTATGATATTACGTTTCATAAAAATATTTTTCTCTGTTTAGATGACATTGAAAAAGAAGAAACCATGATAGATCTGTATCATGAAATATTAAAGAGAGTTGAAAATAGTATCAATGATGTTGTGCAATATGCTTCGGTAATTTTATTGAATTTTCATGTTTCACCATTTAAAACCATTTCCTAAAATAAAGCATTGAAATATTTCAGAAATATGAAAAATACACTCCGCTTTGGATAGAAGACAGACAAGAAGTTTTAGCAGGGTTTTTAAAATATGGGCGATTAATTCCGCCAGAAGAGTTTGACAAATACAGATACGAGAACGGTTGTGACCCACCTGAGTGCAAGCCAAAGCTGATGGAATACCAACAAGAGGTTAATTATGACTTGATATATTTGATTATATTGCTTAGAAAACAATTGTCTATGTCCTGTCCATTTCACAAAATGGTCAGTGGGGTACGGTTCCATCTGTGTATCATACATGGATAAAAAAAAATCGCACCTACTTATAGGTAGACCGCCTAACTGAGTCTGAGTAAAGGGTATGGCGGTTATGAAAACGGGGACCGTGAGAGGTGCGGGCGACAGGCACTTGTAATTTTGACAAGAATGTGCCTGCCGCCCGCACCTCTCACCAACCCGTTTTCGTCCCCCGCACACGCTTTACCCCGAGGACTCAGTTAAGCGGTTTACCTATAGGTATCTAAGGTAAAATTAACGACTAAATGTTTTGTTTTATTGAAATAGATCGATAAATACAACGCGCTGTATGATGAAGTGGCAGCGCTACCGGCGGATTATTTGTGTAATGGATGGTTGCGGCTCGATCTCAAGCGACTGAATCAAGCAATTATGAACATAATTTGCAAGTGGAGCAACCTCTATAAAGAAAACTTAAAGGACCACGTTCAAACTAGGTTGTTAATAATTTCATGGTTTTTAATATGAATTGTTCATGTTTTACAGATATCATTCTTCTTAGACCGAATAATTCACGATGTAACAGGGATTGTGGTTGGGGAATAGGTAGATAGGAGAGCAGCGTCAATAGCGATGTTCGCAGTGTGGGTGTAGTAACTTCGAGATTTGCTTAACTACTTTTAGTTAAGCAAATCTCGAAGGTACTTCACCTGACAGGTTCGAGAATCCTATACTTGTATAGGATTCTCCAACCTGTCAGGTTTTGTATAGGGATGTAAAAGCCTAGCGCCACAATTTATTTTCATTTTCTCATTTGGGTACAGGTACAGTATTTATATTAAGTAATTATACAAATGCTTTAAAAAAAATATTCAACTTTTTGGTCATGTTTTTTTTTTTTTTTATTAAATAGCTTGGACGACTTAGAGAAGTTCATAATTTACGCCACGAAGGAACTTTCGGTGGAGCTAGCAGATGACGATTATGAGGGATTATTGCAAGTAATGCGCGTACTTAATGAAGTGAAGGCTAAACAAGATGCTGGCACCGATCAAATGTTTGAACCACTGCGGGACATCATTGATGTTCTCAAGGAATACGGCGTTGACTTCCCAGAAGAAACGTATGAACAAGTAAGAACTCGTTTGAAATACCTAATTAATTATGAGGGCAATTTTGTTATTTTAACAACAATAAGTAAAACCAAGAGTAGAAGTGCGTATAGTCATTTTGTTATGTATTGAAAGTCCTGAATTTTGAGTAGTAGCTATACACCGTGAATTTTGAGTTACCTGATAAACTTTACCTAGCTAATTCAGACAAGGGTAGGTATTTCCACAAATAAAAACTGCAATTATTTTTTTCGAAAAATGTCTTCACCGTAACTCCATATTTGTGTAATTATGAAAACATAATAATTTTAATTATTATCAATTGATTCAAATATTTTTTTTTAACTTTTAGAATCTGCGGTCTTTAAACGGGCAATAATTCTATAATATTAATTTGTTTACTAAAAATAGTGAAATACATACACATAATACTAGAAATAAAAATAACAACTTTACCTGCTACTAGGCTCCACAAAATCAATAATTCGTTTAGAGGTCTTAGTGTTCGCTTTTACAATAAAGTTCCAAGCAATATTCAAGAGTTAAGCATGACTAAATTTAAATCGACCATTAAAAAATCACTAGTTAAGAAAGCATATTATAAAGTGTCTGAATATATTACAGACAAAAATGCTTGGGTATGAACTGTTCCAACCATTCCAACGGGTATTTCTATAGATCTCAAACAAATTGTACAGGACCCGACCCATCACTCATACAATTCTGATACCCTTATTGATCTTATTTGTACTAATTGTGAAATTAGGGAAATTTCGAACACAAACATTACTGGCACCCTGGGACATGAAACGATAAATGTTAGCCTTACGTTAAAGAAGCTAAAGCTCCCGCCAAAATTTTACACTTACCGACCTTTGAAAAGTATAAAACTTGATCAAGTCAATGCCGACGTTAATGCTATGGATTGGGAGTCTTTATCTAGTTTACCAACGGTGGAGAGTATGGTTGATCGGTTTAATAATTTACTATTAACGGTTTTAAACAAGCACGCTCCAACTATTAGGACTAAAGATCGGTCAAAACAGAGTCTGCCTTGGATAACAGACACGATCAAGTTAATGACTGATATACGAGAGAAAGCTCATTCGAGGTATCGCAAGACAAAATCAGATGCACATAAGCAGCATTATAAGGAAATGAAAAATGCAGTCACTATTGGAATTAGAAATGCAAAACGTGCTTTCTTTTACCATTATATTAATTCAAACATAGATAACCCTAAGCTATTTTGGAGAAATATAAAACAAAAAATATTGCCTAGTGATGGAAAGAACGACGTACATTGCCACGTACATTGTCGGTCATTACTGAAATTATAAATAAATCTATAATTACTTGTACTGTTCCCTCTCAGTGGAAGACTTCACTCGTTACACCGGTATCAAAAGTCGAGTCACCATGTGAATTTAAAGACCTCAGACCTATAAGTATATTGCCCTTCATGTCAAAAATTTTAGAAAAGGTCGTTTATGGTCAGCTTTTTCGGTATGTGGAAGAGAACAACATTCTCCCAAGACTTCAATCGGGGTTTCATAAGGGCCGTGGGACAGTAACAGCGTTGTTGGATGTTACAGATAACATACTTGTGGAACAGGATACGGGAAATGTCACGCTTCTAGCGCTACTTGACTTTTCTCGCGCATTTAATTGTCTCAGTATACCCCTCCTGTTATCGAAACTATCATTTTATGGATGCGACGCCGAAACAGTCAGATGCTTCAATAGTTATCTCAGTGACCGACGACAAGCGGTAAGACTCCGCAAAGACGATGGGTCTTTTTTGACTTCGGGTTTAGAGCTTGTAAGACGCGGTGTCCCTCAGGGGTCTATACTTGGGCCTTTACTCTTTCTTATATATGTTGCTGACTTACCTACTGCTATAAGACACTGCAAGTATCATCGTTACGCTGATGATGTGCAGTTATACGTGTCCAAAACGCCAAACACTATAAGTGATGCGATTTGTGAGCTCAATATGGATTTGGATGCGGTGGCTACCTGGTCTGCTGATAATACTTTAGTTCTCAACTCACGAAAATCCAAATTTATGGTGCTCGGCATGAGTAAACAATTAGATAGGGTCTCAGGCAGTGCTGTTGGTGTCAGAGTCTGTGGCGAAGTTGTGGAGAGAGTCAGTGAGACCAGAAATCTTGGAGTTGTTTTTGACAGCCAGTTGCGTTTTGTGTCTCACGTATTAGGCCTAGTGAAGAGTTGTTTTTATCGCTTAAAAGTTCTCTATAAGATACGTGGCCTACTGTCAGAAAAAGCTCGCATTACCCTCTGCGAAACACTTATACCCTCAAGATTAAATTATGGTGATCTTGTGTACGGCCCCCGGCTGTTAAGTGGGAGTAGGAGGTTACTGCAGCGGATTCAGAATGCCTGCTGTCGTTTCTGTTTTAATGTCCCACCACGTACTCATATATCACCTTTCATAAATAGGGCTTCAATGTTGAATATGGAATCGCGTAGGCACTTACATCTAGCAATTTTAATGTTTGACATCATGAAATTCAAGAGTCCAAGTTATTTATATGAGAAATTAAAATTCCCTACTGCGGCACTACGTTATGACGCTGACAGGCAACCAAGACAGGCAAAGCCACCTTTATCGACTCAGAATCATAAAACGCAGGCGTTTAAGGGTAGTTTCCGCTATCAGGCGACCAGGTGCTGGAACAACATTCCACCTCCACTAAGGAGGATCATATCGCGCCAAACATTTAAAAAACATTTAAAATTAATATTACTAGAAATGCAAAGGTTAGGAATAACCACATGTGGTCGTATGGTAGCGGTTTCTACCGCTTTCTAATAGGTGTGTCACAATTTGTGTGTGTTAAATTCTGATGGGTAACTATTAATGCAGAAATTCAATATTAATCTAAATACTAAAAAGTAATAACAACAGTAATAATTAATAATTTTTGGTGAATGATAATATTCTAAATATAGTTATATTATAATAATTTATCAATAATAATTTAATAATCTTTTTAATTTAAGAACAATATAATCTAATTTAATTCTCTTAATAATAAATTAATCACGTCACGTCGATGTCGTTTCACGTTACGCGCTTTCTAGGCAGAACTGAAAACCAGTGCTTTGCTCTTAGAGCAAAGGTATCGCTGAGTTTTTGCCTTTATCTGTCGTTGCGGCACACAGTTTTACCCTAGTAATTAATTGTTCTATTTTTTTACTTGAATTTTTGTGCTGTACTGATGGGAATAAATGATTTATCTATCTATCTATGATTTAAATTATGAATTATGTGCTGACAATACTATAATTTAATTTGAAAGCTGTATATAAAGTTGATAACTTAAGGAAAATTATGAGACAGTGTAAGAATATTTGATTGACAAAACGGCGTGGTCGTGATTTCTCCTTTGCTTTGTTTTTGTAATTGTTTGTGGTGTCCTACAGGTAAATGACCTTAATTTAAGTAAATATGTTGTAGTTAGTATGGGTAGTTATGGGTAGTCATGCTCTCATAATAGTCTCTTCGGCGGTGTCGTGTGAGGCGGGTCGTTACGTTCCCTAAAATATGGTTGAGCGAAGCGATGGCTGGTTCATGCGTCATGCTCGTGAACGGGTGCTGCCAGCGGAGATGAGTCTGCCCTAACTTCCTTAATATTGCAGTTAATGTTTAGTCACACTTAATATAAATAACACTATTTGTATTTATACTGTATGACACAGCAATCAAAATGCAGGTAAACAATTAATGTATATTTAATAATTATGTAATGAAAATTGACTTCATGAATCATCTCTGAAGTCATTTTTCAATTTGACGACTTTGTAAATAATAAAACAGGGAGAAAAAAACAGCCCTTGCTGAGTTTCTTGCCGTTTCTTCTCAGTACAAGGTCTCCCGCCGTAGATTTACGAACCGATGATGGCGTAGCTTCTAGACATTCATGAGTGCTTGTAACAGGCTAAACTGAATAAATGATTTTGATTATGATTATGATTATAATAGGTTTGATTTTCTACAACTTTGCACCATTTTAGAATATTTTTGAAACGATATAAAGCATATAATAATAGGGGTGGATTGGTATGTTGAGTGTTTACACTATTTTTATTTAACCATTTTTGACTTTCTTAGTTAACTCGAAATTCGCGGTGTATATGTATAGTTATTATTAATGGACATGAGCTTTTGTAATCATAATTTATTACTGTTGTTAATGCTTCCTGGAACGTGAAGTCTAAAAATCACCAGTACTCTGTACATACGTTGGTAAGTATAATATAACATGAGTACAGAATTTATAATATTTTAAAGTGTATATTTAAAATGTTCGAGGAATTGATCTATAAATGTGGCTTTAGTTGGATATGTTGCCCGAGAAGTGGAGAAACGTAGTGAAATTGGCGACGGTGATGAAGAATACTGTTGCACCGCTACAGGCTGCACAAGCAGCTTTAATCGCTAAGAGAGTAGCGCTCATTAATTTGAGGCTCACCATGTACAGGGATCAGTTCAAACTAAAGCAGGTCGGTGTATATGATAAAAAAAATATAATGGTTCAAAGATTTCAATCTTTTTAAAGGTTATTATTAACTAACAGTAACTCTATAGTTTCTTCAGGGTTAATATCTTATTTTCGTAATTTATTATAGATGTTCTTAGAATCATGCAAGGAACCATATCGCAGTATCGACAAAGTACACGTGGAGTTACTGCATTTTGAGGATTTAGTTGAGTCACTGAAAAAATCCTGCAGTCTTTTCGATATACAGCCGCCTGATGAAAAGAACCTTAAGCAATGCCGACGGGAATTAAAACTTATAAAGGTACATATTTTTTTTTATTTTAAAAGAAATAAATTTTAATATTTTTAATATTTTATTTTTATTTGTCACCAGCAACTATGGGATTACTATTACCTGGTTATGGGCACTATTGAATTTTGGAAGAAGTCTCCATGGAAGAAAATTGATGCAGATGGCATGGATCAGGAATGTAAGAGATTCAGTAAGGACCTGCGGCAGCTCGATAAGGATATGAGGGTTTGGTATGATATATTTCCAAAAAAAACTAAAACTTTAATTAATTAAAATGAAAGCTCCGAATCGACATTTCAATTATATTTTAAAACAGGGAGCCATATATTGTAATTGAGAGTACGATTAAAAACTTGATGACTTCGCTCCGAGCTGTGACAGATCTGCAAAACCCTGCAATCAAGGACAGGCACTGGGTGGAGCTTATGATGGCAACTAAGGTTAAACTGACACATCAATTTACTTGCTTAGTTCTGTTATAGCATTTTATCAATTCTCTTTTGTTTGTACATAAGATTGTAAAAACATTTTTATTTCATTTAGCAAGCAGTTCATTCACACCTCATGTCTATCAACGTATCACACACTCATACCATCGCATCGTCATTAGTGAAGTCATTTGTATCCAGTAGAGTCTCATTAGAGAAGATTATAAAGGACTTTCAGTCTTTGGAAAATCTTACCGTCGATGAACTGTGTAGTCTGGATGAAAACAAAGAGAAAACGAGAGATCTATTACAATGTGAAAACTTTCTTCAAATCAAAGATTTTAGAAGGCCTAAGTTACAAGAAAACTCTATGAAAGGAAACAAGTTCAGAAACATGAGTAAATCGTATTCTAAACAAGAGTTAAAAGACAAAGGATTTGAGCTTAAACCGACGGGAAAAAGAAGGGCTCAATCGAAACATCAAGATCATGTGATCATACTCTCAGAATTCATTATGTAGATTATATGTTCTAGAAGTACTTTTAGTTTGTAAGTTAATCATAAATTCGTTTAATTATGAAGGTAAGTTTGTAATAAAATTAATAAACGCCACGCCTAGTATCACAAAAAAAAATAACTATAATCGCATGGATCACAAATGTTGTACATAAATATCTTGTTATTAATCGTTATTTTACGATTAAAGTGGCATAAATTGAAGTTATTTGAATTTTCTAGGTTAAATTCCATATCGATGACGATACGACACTGGCTGATTTATTAGCACTCAATTTACATAAGTATGAAGAAGAAGTTAAGACTATAGTTGATAAGTCAGTCAAAGAAGCAGCGATGGAGAAAACACTTAGGTATAATTATATAATAATTCTAGTTATTATTTTTTGGATTGAATTTATTAACAGCCTTCTAATGGAATAAATACGTTTTGATAGGGAATTAGAGGCAACATGGGCTGTAATGGAATTCGATTACATGACGCATGATAGAACAGGAATTAAACTACCAAAAGCCAGTGAGGAATTGGTAGAAATACTTGAAGACAACCAGGTACTGACAACAAGTTAATATGAATAATATTTTAGTTACTGTATCCAAAAGCTAGAATATTTAGTTACATACCTCGCATGTGTCCAGAATGTCTCTGCAAACCTTTAAGCAGCTTTGTATTATAATTCATCCATTTTATTCGAGTATCAAAATTCTCAATCCAGTTTTCAAAATTTTCCTATAGAACCAAGTCCAGAACATGATGTCTTCCAAGTTCGTGGGTTATTATGAAGCAGAGGTAACAGAATGGCAGAAGAAACTTGGCACTGCAGATGCGGTAATTGCCTTATGGTTTGAAGTGCAACGTAAGTGGCAATATCTAGAAAGCATATTCGTGGGCTCTGACGATATCAGAGCACAATTACCAGAAGACTCGAAAAGATTCGATAATATTGATAAATCATTCAAGGTAAACATATTTTTTATGATGTTCATCATAATCTATTTAATAATAGAATAAAACAGTGTTTCTGTTGTACTTCAGGAATTACTTAAAGATATAGCTAGTACTCCTAATGTAGTTCAAGCCACGAACAAGCCAGGTTTACTGGATAAGCTCGAAGAACTGATGGGATCGCTGAATCTCTGCGAAAAGGCCCTTAACGACTACTTGGAAACTAAACGTTTGGCTTATCCTCGTTTCTACTTCGTTTCATCTGCAGATTTACTTGGTATGTGAAGGAAAAGGATCTGATGTTACTTTTAGCCACTCACATATAGTTAATATACTCCCAGACACATCTATCGGCTCACTTATTAGCTTTATCGGTCCGTAGCAATACTATATATTTGGCTGAGCAATAATAATATATTTTAAAAAACGCACGAAATATAGTTAATATATTTAAGCTTCAAAACTATGTTTTTTTATATAGCCAGGCAAGCAAATGACTCTACCCCACCTTTTTTTTTTTTTAATACGCAGGTAAAAAATCTATTTACAGACGACGGCGCCTTTAAGAGGCACACCGCCGAACGGACCTCACACCTGGCTCCCGCAAGTCTTACGAACCCCACAGTGGCTGCCCACCGAGGACCCCGCAACTCTTACGGGCGCTTTACGGTATAATATCCGCTAAAAAAGTCCTGCGAATACCCTCTAAGCTGCTTAGTGCGAAACCGCGGGATCCCCGTTTAGGGATTCTTCCGCGTCTCCGCACCCAGCAGCCTCCCGGCCTAGCCGGGGCTCCACGGCAGGGGTCTCCCGAGGTATTGCGGGGACCCCGCAGACGTGCGCAGGATGGCCCGCGCGTGGGGGCAAAATACGCGGCCTAGTGCCCACCGTACCGCCCCCCGTCCGCTGCGGAGGACTACTTGGGCATGCCCGTGTAGCTCCCTCCGCCGCCCCCCTCTTTGCAGGACAGAACTACAAGATGGGGGCTGCCGTCAGGGGATCCCTCGGTGGCCGGCACGGCACAATGCGCCGTACCGGCCAGCTAGGGATCCCCGCGGGCAGGGTCATGGGACGGGCGTAGCCAGGGCACGCACTCGTCCTCTTCTGCCCGCTCTTCTTCGGCGGGAGGGAGCGGCCAGGGGATCATCCTCCCGCTCCCTCTCGGCTGCCTCCTTCTGCGAGATAACGTTCTCGCAGAAGGAGGCAGCCGCCTCCCATGCCGACTCGCTACGGAGCATGGCCTCTACCATGCTCCGCAGCGAGAGGGTTCCGCCTCCCAGCGCCGCAATCAGGTCGCGGCGCTGCTGCCGCCAGGCCGAGCACTCCAGCAAGGTGTGCTCGGCCGTATCGTCCGGGGCGCCGCAGTGATGACACTGCGGCGTTTCCTCCCGACGTGCGACACGGTACAGGTAGTGACCGAAGCATCCGTGCCCGGTCAGTACCTGCACCATCCGGAACGAGAGGCCGCCGCGCCGGCGACCCACCCACTCCTCCAACACCGGACGAATGGCCTCAATCGTCCGGTGGCCGGCGCTTACATGGGCGAGTGCCTCATCCCATCGCCGCAAGGCCTCTGCCTGCGCGATGGAACGGACCTGCCGCAGCTCTGCTGGGGCAGGTCTTTCACCCCGCTCCCTGGCTTCGACCCGACCTCGATGCACGTCTGCCAGAACCTGGGCATCGAGATCCCACGGCGTCATACCCGCGAGTACGCAGGCGGTGCCGTGGCTGACCGTGCGGTAAGCTCGCACGACCCGGGTCGCGATGGTCCTCTGCGGTCGTCGCAGCAGGGCCATCGTGCGGGGTTTGAGGCACGACTCTACCCCACCTGATGTTAAGTGGTGATAAAGTCCAAACGCGAAGATAGCTGGTGCAGCAGTTATATACTGCCACACCATCCATCCTCACCTTGCCGGCCTGCAAAAATGCTTCTTCACGCCTCTCATAAAGAACCAAGGTTGTAGGAAAATCGTGCGCGGGCAAAGAATTCCACTTACGAATAGTACGACAAAGAAATTTCGTGACAGTAATTTAATAGTCGGTGGCAATGTAAAAACTTTTTGCTAAATGTAACTTTAACTTTAGCTAGGGCCTGTAAAATCAAATTTAAAATGCTAGGTGGGCAGATAGATGTGTCTGGGAATATATATGAGCTCCAATTTTAGGAATTTTGGCTTTATGTTGATATATTTTAACCCTGTCCACGGTTTTGTTGTAAACAACAGTATTTTAAAAATACCTATTAATATTTGTATTCGTTTTAGATATTTTGTCCAATGGTAATAACCCACCAGCTGTATGTCGCCATTTGACTAAATTGTACGACAACTTAGCCAAGTTGGTATTCCCGAAGCCGGGAAGCAAGCAAGCTTTTGAAATGATATCCAAGGAAAACGAAGAGCACGTCCCTTTCAAGGCTCCCTGTTGTGACTGCTCTGGAAAGGTGAAATTCTCGTTGATTATAATACTATATACACACATCAAAAAAAGTTTGAGATCACTTACAAAAGCTGATATACATATTTTCAAAATTTAACTTAAGGGTAAATGTTTACGTTATATTTTTTTTTATTTAAAAATGCATTTTCTGAAATTAAAAAATAACACTAATTAAATTTTTTAGTATAAAAAAAATAATAATTCAATCCTAAGGCGATTGTATTAGAACTTTGATAGAAATAAAACGATAGTTTAACCAAACTTAAAAACCTTTTATTAATCAATTGTTGTTTATCTAATACAAAACTCCTCTGGCTCGAACACATGCGGAGATCCTCCTGGGCATGCTGAGGATCAAGTTATCCAGCATTTCTTATGATTACCTGTCCCATTCTTGAACAGCAGCTTCCTTGAGCTGCGGCTCTCTCTGGGGTGGTGGCTGCCAGTTCCAAACAGCTCGCTTAGGAGCATCCCACGCGTGCTCTATTGGGTTTAAGTCAGGAGAGCCGGCAGGCCAGTCTAACCTTGTGATTTCGTATTCTCGGAGAGCAGCATTAACTCGTTGAGCTCGATGTGCGGACGCATTATTGTCAACCAGTACAAATTGGTGCCCATGGTTTACTCGGAAAGGTCTGACGATTCCATCAATAACGACTATTTTATATCTGTCTGCCGTCATGAAGCCTTGATAAGGGATTAAAGGAGTTCTAGCCCCAATCATAATACCACCCCAAAAGGACACTGATTTCCCGCCTTGCTGAACCGTTCCAGTGGCCGTTCTTTGCCTTTCAGAGTCTCCAGGTCTTCTCCAAACACGGACACGTCCTTTATCCGGATGAGTACTGATTCGCGATTTGTCAACGAAGAGGCAGTTTTGCCAAATGTTTTCCTCTTAGTCTTCTTTGTTTTGCCGGAGCTAAGCTCACTGTAATCGACGTCGCTGACGTTCCCGTGAATTCAAAAGTAATCGTAATCCAGCCTTTTGTAAGCAATTTCGAATGATCTGAGTGCTAATTTCAAGTCCGGAGGCGGCCCGTATTTCTGTTTTTAATTTCGTGGCGTGTATTATTGGGACGCGGGCGAGCAACCTGATGTAGCGCTTCTGAGCAGCTGTCAAAACAGTTGGGCGACCACTGCGGGGTCGATCAGCTAAATTACCCATGCCGTAGTACACGGAGGAAAAACAAAGAGGAGCTGGCCTAAGCAACTGTGCACTGTGATTTTCAACTAGGTCCTGACGTCATCATTGTGGGCGGGGCCTAAGTCAGTATGCTTTCAGCGTTCGTCAGGTGCACACTTAACGAGACTCGCATTATAAGTGTTTTTTTGCGTTTTTAACAAGAAAAGGATGAAGTTTTGTGTTTTACTATGTCAAAGTTACTCAGACAGACGTTCTGATAATATGGATGGCACCACATTTCATTTGTAAGTAATTTTATACGTAATTAAATATATAAGTTCTAGAACATTCTCAGCCTCAGCTTTCAGCGTTAAAATTCTACTACTTGACACCAGATGGCGACACTTTTAGGAAGAAAATACACAAGTTTACGTATAATTTTGCAGTATTATATTGTAATAATCATACGTAAATACTGAAAACTGTTATACACTTATTCCTAAATAACTTTTAGTACCTAAAACAGTAATTTTATCAATATATTACTAACTGGCCGCCATCTGTCGTCATATAGAATAACTTTTTAAACGTTACAAATATCCAGGGCCGTAATACGTATTAAATTATTTACCAAGTAAATAAATTTTAATTATTTTTATGTTCGTTTTAGATTTCCATCCAACGATAATTTAAAACAGCAATGGATTTCAAAACTTAATAGACCGGATTGGACACCATAGAAGCAGAAGATATTTCCATTTTAAATGAATCTTCTGTGCAAAAAATTAATATTACATCAGAACGTTATCGCATTTTAAATAAAATGAGTTTCGAGTCTTCGGATAGCACGGATGTCGAGCCTATGCCTGACGATATGTTATTGGAATTTGATGAACAATTAAATACAACTATAGGTGACTATTTGCGCCGTCAAATAGTAGCATATATTTCTGGGTATGTGGTCAAATATTTACATTCCAAGATCAAATGTGAGAGCTGTCTCAAAGAATTATATGCTGATAACTACGACGATAGTGACCTTGATTTGATAAAAACTTAAAATAAGGGTGGTCTTACTTTCCCATCTAGAGATGTCATAAAAATATGTATACGGACCGAAGGCAGTATTCGTTGTGTTAAATCGCAATCTTTGAATACTCCTAACTTTCGTAAACATAAAATTGTATCGAATACATTAAAATCACTTATTGGACAAGATTGTTTCAAAAAATCGGCCAACCATATGTTTGACCAATCACCTACAGTTAATCATGTTGTATTTCTGATGAAATCGATTGCAGAAAAATATATTGATATTCGTTTTAAGCATTTTGCCACAATACAAAACGATACGGCAACCAACCGACAACAACTAACCAAAACTATTATTTACAGGTAATTGATGTTTTTTAATAAAATTATGTTTGTAATAACATTTTGTCTATTATTTTTAAACTACCTTAAATTTTAAATCTAAAGAAAATATAACTAGAAAAATATCCACGCGGACCAGGCAGCAGACGGGAGCGGGTGCGGGTTCGAGTCCCGTCTGCTGCCTGGTCTGCCTGGATTTTTTTTCATCAAGCAGTTACATGTTTTAAAATAATAAAAATTATACCTTAAAAATTTTAAAATCGGTCAAATTTGTTAACGTTTATTTTATTTATTTACCTACATATTTCATTTTTTTGAAGCTTCAAGTTCTGAGTACGTCCCATTATATACAAAACTTTTGAACATCTAGTGTTAGATAGCTGAACTACTACGTAGTAACATAAATATCAACCTAAGCTAGTTTTGCTATTAGCCGATAGATGAAATATTGAGAAGTGGGCGGAGCTGAACACCCCGCATCCCGCAAATTATCACGCGTCGTTTCTTGAGAAAATTTAATCACCACACCTCCTCTTTGTTTTTCCTCCGTGCCGTAGTACCTCTGCAACGTGGTACTACACAGGATTGGAATATGGCAACTCTGCGTGCTATTTCTTTCGTAGAATAGCCTTCTTCCTTCAAAATTACAATTCTGGCTCGCAAACATCTGTTAATCATCGTGGGTTTTTTTACATCACAACTTTCCGTGAAAAATATTTTAAATTCGATAATATTGATCAAATCAGATTTCTGAATGAGTGTCAGCTTGGATTGCATGTCTTTTTATATGAAAAAACAATTGAATTATTTTTTTGTTTAACGTTCTAATACTTCTTTTAAAATTTTGAATCTTATCAGAAAAAGAAATGACAAAAAGTCTTCTGTAACACAAAAAACAATCTATTTTTCAAAGTGATCGCAAACATTTTTGATGTGTGTATGTCATTGGTAATAATTGCTAGTATTATACCAGCGCTTACCCGAAGTGTGCTACTACTACAACGCTAATAAAACCATAAATACATTTACGTAATAACACATCCTATTTATCTAAAGTAAAAAAAAATTACTTCATGAATGACTTTGGATAATGCATTATTTGTGGTCTAAAACCACCTTCATCTTTGAAAAGAAACCGGTTTGGGGTTCATCTATGTATGGTTTCAAGTTCTATAACGGGTATAGGTGGAAAAAAAATGGTTTTGTATTTATTTTTAAGAATATATTAATATACTTGACAGGTGGAAACATGGCTTAACCGTGTAACAGACTGCATGCGATATACTTTACGTGATATTTTCGAGCATAGCGTAAAGTCATATGAAGAAAAGTCGAGAGACGAGTGGGTTTTCGACTGGCCTGCACAGCCAGCATTGGTAGGCACACAGATTTGGTGGACTACTGAAACAAATCAAGCATTTGAAAAGCTGGAAGAAGGTTTTTAATAATATTTAGTAAAATTGATATTTCTCAACTTAAGTTTTATACATAAATAACTAAAGTCGATTAGGTATTCACTATTGATCTGATAAATAAAAATTTCAAAGTAGTCTTAGCTAAATTACAGGCGTAATTTAATACTACTGTTATTCATATATATATCTTCGGATGATTCAGGTTATGAAGGCGCTTTAAAAGATTACCAAAAGAAGCAAATTATGCAGCTCAATGCACTTATAGTTCTACTTTTGGGTGATCTATCAGTTGGTGACAGGCAGAAAATTATGACCATTTGTACTATTGATGTGCATTCGCGAGATGTGGTAGCGAAGCTTATTACTTCTAAAGTCGAGAACTCTAACGCTTTCCAGTGGCAGAGCCAATTGAGGTAGGAACTAAAAACAGGGTAACTTATTAAAGACATTTAATATTCCTGAGTAATTCCTTAAGTATTATTCAAAGTGTATATTATGTAGTGGTTCTTTAAAAAGTTACTTATTTTTCAGACATCGCTGGGACAGTAATTTAAATAACTGCTTTGCTAATATTTGCGACGCGCAGTTTTTATATGATTACGAGTATTTAGGCAATACACCACGACTTGTCATCACACCATTGACGGATCGGTGTTACATCACTCTCACCCAGGTAACAAAATATAATAGTAATGTTTACCTCTATCTCAAGTATATAGTGATTGAGTCAAGAACGTTGCATATTCCAATATAATAAATACTTGATGACTTATCATTTTTTTTAAATCCTGGAACTATTTCACAAAGTTATAAGTTACTTTACCAAATTCTGATGATGTATAGGTGCTTCAGTCGTCCCTGAGCTCAGATCTAGTACAAAAAACTTATTTTTTCCTCACCACAATTGGGGCGCCTTTAAATCGTGTTAAGATATTATAAAAAATAGTATATAAATTATTCCAGAGTCTCCATTTAATTATGGGAGGTGCTCCAGCTGGACCTGCCGGTACTGGAAAAACAGAGACTACCAAAGATCTAGGAAGAGCACTTGGTATTATGGTTTACGTATTCAATTGTTCCGAGCAAATGGACTACAAGTCCTGTGGAAATATTTACAAGGGTAATTTGGGCGTTAAAATCGAAAATATTAATTCTTTGTTACATGGTATATTAAATAATCTTGCATTTGATTAATATTTTAATTAGGTTTATCTCAAACTGGTGCATGGGGTTGCTTCGATGAATTCAACAGAATCTCTGTCGAAGTGTTGTCCGTAGTGTCAGTGCAAGTGAAGAGTCTCTTGGACGCCATCAAAGCCAAAAAGAAAAAGTTCGATTTCATGGGCGAGTACATCACGCTTATTCCATCGGTGGGAATGTTCATTACTATGAATCCCGGATACGCGGGTAGAACTGAACTACCAGAAAATCTGAAAGCGCTCTTTAGGTTAGTAAAACTTTAGAACTAAACCCTTTCTATTCAGCCTCGATGTTTAGCATACACCGTTATATAAAGCCTTAGGTTTAATTTGAAATATCTTTTAGTTTTGTCAATACCACTTAATGTTATTAATATTTCAGACCATGTGCTATGGTAGTACCAGACTTCGAGCTGATTTGTGAAATCATGTTAGTAGCAGAAGGCTTCCAAGAGGCACGGCTTTTAGCAAGAAAGTTTATCACTCTTTACACGTTGTGCAAAGAGTTGCTCTCCAAGCAAGATCACTATGATTGGGGACTTAGAGCCATCAAGTCCGTATTAGTGGTAGCTGGCTCACTCAAGGTTGGTTTGGTGATATTACAGGTATATAAGTTGTTTTTTGACAAATATACATAAATGTAAAATTTTATAGCGTGGTGACCGTCAAAGACCTGAAGATCAAGTGCTAATGAGAGCTTTGAGAGATTTTAACATCCCTAAAATAGTGACAGATGATACACCCGTATTTATGGGTCTTATCTGTGACTTGTTTCCTGCACTCGACGTACCTCGAAAAAGGGATCTCGATTTCGAGAAAATGTTAATTGAGGGAGCTCTGTCCATGAAATTACAACCTGAGCCAGGGTTTATTTTAAAGGTTTGAAATTAAACTTATTTTTAACTTCTTGACATTTGACGCGTATCGAGATCTAATTCAACTATTCGAATTCAATATTGGTTCGTGCTAAGGTTACTTAAGACATTTAGATTCAGCCAATCCACGTTTTTTTGTAACGGTTAAAATAAACACAAAACAACGAATAGTCGAGTCACCTCTATAACATAATTATGCTAGGATTTAACTATTTCAGATGGTACAATTAGTAGAATTATTTGCTGTCCGGCATTCCGTGTTCATCGATGGTTTTGCCGGAACTGGAAAGTCCATGGTATGGCAGTGTTTGAATAAAACTTATCATATGATGAAAATGAAACCATACTACAACGACCTAGATCCAAAGGCAGTGACCAATGACGAACTATTCGGTATAATTAACCCCGCTACGAGAGAGTGGAAAGATGGCCTGTTTTCTACGATAATGAGAGATATGGCTAATATGCCTGGTGATGGACCTAAATGGATAGTACTTGATGGGGATATCGATCCTATGTGGATCGAGAGTTTAAATACATTGATGGATGACAATAAGGTATTTTTTTTACTTTTTATTCACAGAATGTTTGGAGTGTAATACTAACTTTGAATCGTCTTATCAAGGTGCTGACGTTGGCAAGCAATGAACGGATTGCATTAACGAAATCAATGCGACTGTTGTTCGAGATTTCTAATTTGCGTACCGCCACACCAGCTACTGTCTCACGTGCCGGTATTTTATATATCAATCCACAGGATTTAGGATGGAACCCGTAAGCGTCTTTATTATTATTTATCATCGAACTGCAAAATAAAGACACAGAGAGAAAGACTTTAGTAGTAGTAGGTGATTAACACAAATAACTTATGATGACCTTTTATTTATTCACGATAATTTGAATCAGTTGCTTTTATCTAGTAATTGATAAGTACAGTAAAAAGTGGATGTTGTACCCATATATAGCATATTTATTAAAGTATAGCATTATTTTCATCCACTTAAACCAATGATCGATCATTTTTTATTTTGTATAATTATGTACTAGCATCCTTTGCATAGAATATATAAGATTAAAACATTCGCAGATTTGTAGCGTCATGGATTGACACTACTAGGGATGACGAATCAGAGAAAGCCATGTTGACAGTATTTTTCGACAAATATATACCTTCGCTGTTGGAATCGTGTAAAAAATATAAGAGAATCACTCCATTGACAGAGTTGCAGCAGATACAACTTACATGTTATTTACTAGAATGTTTCTTGAATAAGACTCTGTTACCTAGTGAATGCCCTAAGGAATGGTGAGTTTGGAAAAAATATTACACGTAATTGAAATGATTATCCACTATTTTCGTGGATTCTCTACATTACCTAAACTGTGTAAGAAAATATGTATATATTAATTTTATTATTTTTACCTATACTCGGCAAAAATATCATCTAATCGTTTTTTGTTAGGTACGAAATTTACTTCGTTTTTTGTATAGTCTGGGGCTTTGGCTCAGCACTTTTCCAAGACCAGCTTGTGGACTGGCGTAATGAATTTAGCAAATGGTTCTGCAACGAGTTCAAGCAAATTAAATTTCCCTCGACCGGAAACGTGTTTAGCTTCTTCATTGATCCCGAAACAAAGAAGTTTTTACCCTGGTCAGAGAAAGTGGAATCGTTTGAACTGGATCCTGATATACCCCTGCAAGTAAGAATTAAAAAAAAACTTTTTAAATTCAGTTAGTACACTTATTTATAAAGAATCCCTTTTGTAATCTGAGCGTCAACTCAATGCAGGGAGTAAATTATGCACCTTAAAAATAAAGATCTAGGGAGCTTAGATAAACCAGTACTTATGGAATTTTGTTTTGTTTTTAGTCGTGCCTAGTGTCAACTTCAGAGACAACCCGAATTAGGTTCTTCATGGATTTACTGATTGCTAAGCAAAAGCCGGTAATGTTAGTTGGCAGCGCCGGTAGTGGGAAGACTGTCAGTGTCGCAGCCAAACTCAACTCGCTGCCAGAGTCTTATGCTATCACCAATGTCCCGCTTAATTTCTATACCACATCCGGTAAGTGTGCAGCTAACTAAAATAATAATTTTCATACAATGAAAGTTTCTTAATATGTAAGTAGATACATATTTGCCCTATAATGCTCTCTTAAAAGGTTTTAAACTGAAAAAAATCCCTTTGTGTTGGAACGTATCACTCTCTAGTAAACAATATTTATACATCATTGACGAAGTAACTTAAGGAATCCAAGTTTCTTCGTTTTTAAACAGACTACTTCGCGATGTTGTCATTCCAGTTCAGTGTTTTAATGGATCCAGTTTTGCTCAGAAGCTAGTAGATACATATGCAAAATCCGTTAACGTATCCTTCAATATTGCAGAAATGATACAAAAAGTTTTAGAAAAACCACTGGAAAAGAAATCTGGTCGCAATTTCGGTCCTCCGGGAAGCAAATTTATGATTTACTTCGTTGACGATATGAACATGCCAGAGGTAGACAAATATGGCACGGTGCAGCCACACACGCTTATCAGACAGTTTATGGATTACAAACACTGGTAATTTTGTAATCTTTAATGCCATGTACTTAGACCAGAAGATTTTCCATATATTTTACACTACACACAAGTTAAATCTGTAGTCCGTTGTTAAATAAAACTGCAATTTAATAATATTTGCATATTGGCAGGTATGACAGACAGAAGTTGAGTTTGAAGGAAATATCAAATTGTATGTTTGTTTCGTGCATGAATCCTACTGCTGGATCTTTCACAATCGACTCCCGTTTACAAAGGCACTTCTGCACGTTTGCCGTTAGGTAAGTTTAAAAAAAACATTGTTTTTATGTTTGCATTAAATAATTTAAATTTTATTACTCATGACCGTTCATTTAAATATTCCCACCTGACCCCAATGACTAAATACCTTAACTTCTATGAAATTTTCACTAAACTTGAGCTCAAAGCAATATAAAATTGAGCTTCCATCTCATTACATTTAAGACTAATCCAAATGTTTTTACAATTGTCGATTTTAGCTTCCCAGGCTTAGACGCTTGTTTCCACATCTACAAGCAAATATTATCCCAACATTTGGCCAATCCATTAAACAAGTTCGGTATTACTGTCCAAAAGTACGCCGAACACTTGGTTAACGCAGCCCTGGCACTCCACAATAAGCTGTCTAGCGTTTTCTTACCGACTGCCATTAAATTTCATTACATATTCAATTTAAGGGACTTGTCAAATATTTTCCAGGTATTTCTTTTGCTGTTATAATTTCTGTCTTATTATACGTATTTTCTTAATATGCCATTATGATTGCAAAATGTCCTGTTTATGGAAATATTTCAATAATCAAAAATTACAATGTCATACCCTCAGGGAATCTTATTTACTACTGGTGATGCTATTAAAGCACAGTCGGAATTAATACGATTGTGGATGCACGAAGCTACACGTGTTTATTCCGATAAACTCGTGGATTCCATTGATAATGAAAATTTCAATAAGCTTATTGTAGAAGTAATTAAGAAGAATTGCGAGGTATTTACCGATTCCATGGATAACATAATATCAAAAGTCGAAATATATAGTTGTTTGAAATAGTCTATAAAGATAAAATAAATTTCAGGATTACGACGAGAACGTCGTTTTTGAGAAACCTCTTATTTACTGTCATTTTGCTGAGGGCATCGGTGATCCGAAATACTTCCCTATCAGAGACTGGCCTCAAATCAAAAAGCTGCTCGATGAATCTTTGTCAGGCTACAACGATTTGGTGGCTACGATGAATTTAGTTTTGTTCGAAGATGCAATGTACCACGTGTGCCGGTTAGATTACATTTGTTATTTATTTCTTTATAATTGCTGCATTATTTAAGAATGCTAAAAGTGATAATGTGTCATTAATTTATAGAATAAATCGCATCTTGGAGGCACCTAGAGGAAATGCTTTATTAGTAGGCGTGGGAGGGTCTGGCAAGCAATCTCTCTCACGTCTTTCTGCTTTCATTTCTTCACTGGAAGTTTTCCAAATACAGCTCAGAAAGGGGTACAGCATGAATGACCTCAAAGTGGACTTAGGTAAAGCATAGTTAAATAGATATGTATAAATCGTAATTAAAATAATATGGTGAATAAATAGCGAATAATATTATGTGTGATTTAATGACTGATTTTCTATGTATATTTCAATAAATTAATGTGAAAAAAAAGCAAACATATAATGATATTTTTGCGTTAAGATAGGAACGTTTATTGTGGACAAATCGAATCTTTCTTTAGTAGTAACATCTGCTTCTACATTCAATCAATTGTATTTTCTTTACAGCTTTATTATATATGAAGGCAGGTCTAAAGAATATTGGCAACATATTCTTAATGACTGATGCACAAGTGGCCGACGAAAGATTCCTAGTTCTTATCAATGATCTCCTTGCGTCCGGTGAAATACCCGAGTTATTCGCTGATGATGAAATTGAGAACATAATCAATGGCGTCAGAGGAGAGGTAATTAATGAGGCGACATCCAATAACTTATTAAGAAATACCTATGTGTATTTTTCTATATGTCATATAGGTATTGTATCTATGTAATGTATCAATATTTCCTGAGATGTTTTCATATGAAATGGAATGCTTGTGTAAACTAGTTGGAGATTGGAGTTAATAGAGCATAAATATACAATATTCTTATTATACTTATTGTTCTTGCTTCGTAGACAAAAGCGTCTGGAGTACAAGACACACGTGAAAACTGCTGGAGATTCTTCATCAACCGCGTCCGCACTATGTTGAAGGTTAGTGAAATTAAAGTTATAAGTTTTATTTTTTAGGCATGTAACTGCTCGATGTTTAAATCTAAAGAAATTAAAGTTTGTTTCATTAAGCAAACCATTAAGTTAAAATTTATAACAATTTAAAGCTACAACATTCAAAATTAACTCGAAATATAAGACAATAAAGAAGAGTGAAGATAATATATAACTTTCGATAAATTGTTCATTTCCTTTTTAGGTGGTCTTATGTTTCTCACCTGTGGGAGCAACTTTGCGCGTGCGGGCGCGTAAATTTCCTTCGATTGTGAATTGCACAGCGATAAACTGGTTCCACGAATGGCCACAAGAGGCGCTGCGCTCCGTTTCTAAGAGATTTATCGCAGAAGTAGAGTCGTTACCGGTAACTACATGTTTAAATATAAACCTAATAAGGTCAAAGTGTATAATAATTGTCCATGGGCGGCAGTGATCACATGTTATCATCAGCAGGACTACCAGCTTATTTTCTTGCATCAATACAAAAAAAACTAATCATGGTTAAGAATGTTGGTGCAAGCGGCAAAAATTTAGTAACCTACTTTCTTATTTTCTTTTAGCCAACTTTAGTGGAACCGGTGGCAGTTTTCATGTCCCACGTTCATCAGAGCGTGAACCGCATGTCAGCTGTGTATTTCCAAAATGAAAGGCGCTACAATTATACCACTCCTAAAACATTCCTCGAACAAATCACGTTATACGGGAAGTTACTTAATGAAAAAACAAAAAATCTCATTATGATGATTGCGAGACTGGAAAATGGCTTAGAGAAATTAGCTTCCTGTGCAGCTGACGTAGCTGTATTGAAGGTAATATTTCACGTATTTTGGTTCATGAACCACATGACATGTTGATAACTACTGTAATATATTAGCAAAGCTTTATGAGATAATTCATTGACTACCTTTTCAAGGTCACTTTAGCGGAACAAGAAATTGAGTTAAAGATAAAGAACAAAGCAGCTGAAGAGCTCATTGAAGTAGTGGGAGCAGAGAGTGAAAAAGTATCGAAAGAAAAGGCGTTTGGTATGACGCACGTGTAATTGTTAAATAATGACATCACTATATTTATGAAAAATAAATTATGTATAAAATTTATTTCGCTTTAACAGCGGCTGAGGAGGAAAAGAAAGTGAAAGTTATTGAAGAGGATGTCACAATCAAGGCTAAGATCTGTGCAGATGACTTAGCTAAAGCTGAGCCGGCCTTGATAGCAGCGCAGGAGGCATTGAACACGCTAAATAAAAACAACCTAACGGAATTGAAGTCTTTCGGCTCTCCACCAGACGCTGTTGTGAACGTTACAGCTGCTGTGCTCGTACTATTCTCTAAGAAAGGAAAGATTCCAAAAGATAGATCATGGAAGGCTTGTAAGGTTGGTTTTGAATGAAAATTTTGCTGTTTTTGAGATTTTATCCCTAGTTGACATTAATTGTTTCTTAGGTTTTTACGGGTTATATGAACTGAATTTATTTATTTGAAGTTTCGCAGCCTTTTCAGGACTGCGTCTTCAGAAATAATGATTTTTTTATTTACTTTGTCGAGCTACCTTCGAAAGACTTGTATTGAGCGTTCGGATATTTCATTGGTTTTTTTTTTAAACTTTATTGTCTATGCTTGACATTATTTCAAATGAATTCGGAAAAATAATGACGGAAGTTTAATTACCAAAGTATTGTTCATATTCTATGTGAATCTAAGACTTAATGTAATCTGAGCATTGACATATTTCCTATTTCACAGTTGATGATGGCTAAAGTCGACCAGTTTTTGAATGACTTAGTATACTACGATAAAGAAAATATTCATCCAGATGTCGTTAAGGTAATTACAATGAATTTGTTTCTAATTCGTTGAGTATGTACGATTACACGGAATATTGTTGTTTTATATAAAATCCGTTTCTAACAGCTAAACACAGGTATATTAAATGAAATTTTCTGTTTGTTTATTTCTTCTTAAAATTATGTTTTATATTTATGTATGACAACAGAAAATAAATGCTATATCTACTATTATTTCCCTTAGTATTTTATATTCCAGGCGGTGCAACCTTATATCAAGAACCCAGAATTTAATGCAGAGTTCATAATGTCAAAGTCGGCTGCGGCAGCTGGACTTTGCGCGTGGGTGATTAACATAGTAAAGTTCTATGATGTGTATGTGGTGGTCGAACCAAAAAGGCGTGCTCTGAATGCTGCCAATGCTGAATTACAAGCCGCTAGAGACAAGCTTGCTTTCTTAACTGATCAAATAAAGGTTAGGGTTTCCAGACCAAAACTAATATAAACTTGAAAAGATAATAAATATCATGTCACATATTAAACAAACACTAGATTTTTTTTTCGACATCGTTTTTCATATCGTAGCTGTTTAAAGCTCTCATCAAGCTTATATCATAGCTCTCTCTCTCTCTCTCTCTCTCTTTTTATTTAGATGATTAGTATTGAAAATGTTTATGGTTATTTCATACACTAATGACGTCCGCAGGAACTAGAGGAAAAATTGGAAGTACTGCTAAAGGCATTCCAAGAAGCAGTTAACGAAAAAATGAAATGCCAAGCAGAAGCTGATGCAACAAATGCCACTATCGACCTGGCTAATAGACTCGTCAACGGATTGGCATCTGAAAAAATTAGGTTACACTTTACACGCTCTTATACATTATCTGAATAATTAACATTTAAAAAAAACTTTATATAGTTTATAATAAAATGGTAGTAACAGATAATAAACTGCACACAGATGGTCAGCGACGGTAGTAAATTTGAAGGAATCAGGAGTTATGCTGCCAGGTGACGTGCTTCTCATCACTGCCTTTATATCATATGTGGGCTGCTTCATGCGTGGTTACCGCCAGCAACTTATGAATGAAGACTGGATTCCTATGCTGGCCAAAACTAACGTAAAAATCTTACAGAACTATGATCTAAATACTTTTTATTTATTATTTTTCTGTTTTAATAACCAAGAGCGTTTCTAAAATGCCATTTAGCGGACTTATAGCGTAAGATGAAGAAAATTGCTGAATCATTTTTGGTTTATGATTGTAGCCAAAAATCGAAACAACTGAGGGCCTAGATCCACTCTCGATGTTGACGGATGATGCTCAGGTGGCATTGTGGAACAACGAAGGATTACCTACCGACACCATGAGTACTGAAAATGCTACCATCCTTACCAACTCAGCACGCTGGCCACTAATGATAGATCCGCAACTGTAAGCTTTATAAATTTATTAAATAGAATAAATAAATTTAAAATATCTTGCCATTCTTGAGCTACCGAAGTTAATACTATTTACCATTTCCAATCTCAGTAAGTACCAACAGTATATTAGTATTCAAAACTTTAACATAAGTTATGATTGCTTTTTCCAGACAAGGTATCAAATGGATCAAGTCTAGATATGGTGATGCCCTTGTTACAATTCGTTTGACACAACGCAATTACCTGGATCATATCGAGCGCGCTATCAGTAACGGTGACGTGGTACTGCTGGAAAACATTGGCGAGAGCGTTGATGCGGTTCTTGAACCACTACTCGGTCGGGTTCTTATTCGTAAAGGAAGGGTGCTTAAGGTAAATCAAGAGACATTATTAATCCATTATTAAATAAATCAATTTTTAAATCAACATCTTTATGTCCAATGTTTACCTACATAATAAAAATAATTGCCTTCTCATATTTTATCGATTTTTATAGATCGGTGATCGAGAAATTGACTATAACCCTCTCTTCCGTCTCATATTGCAAACCAAATTGGCAAATCCTCACTATCAGCCAGAAATGCAGGCTCAATGTACGCTTATCAACTTTACTGTCACCAGGGATGGGTAATTAGCGTTTCCCTTTTGTTATTGTAAAAATGCATTATATTTTTATCATTTACACTGACCCATTAAATACAGGTTAGAAGAACAGTTACTCGGAGAAGTAGTAAAATCAGAAAGACCCGATCTGGAGAGCTTGCGAGCAGGTTTGACCAAACAACAGAATGACTTCAAAATTACACTTAAAACCCTAGAGGACGATCTATTGAAAAGATTGTCATCTGCTGGACCCGACATTCTCAGCGATTCAGCATTAGTAATAAACTTGGAGACTACAAAGAAGACAGCGGCAGATATTGAAATAAAAGTTGAAGAGGGCAAAATAACTGCAGTGAAGATTGATGAGGCAAGAGAGAGATACAGGTTCTTAGTTCTTCACCTACTGAATACAATCGAAGATGAGGTAAAACTTAAAATAGAACGAGACAGTTGTTCTTTTACCGATCTATGTTATTTATTTCAGACGAGCAGCCACTCGTGCTTCTCTGTTGTACTTCATCCTAAATGATATATATCGAATCAACCCGATGTACCAGTTCTCTCTTAAGGCATACAGTGTCGTTTTTAAAGAGGCGCTTGCTAAAGCAGAACCAGCTGATGAATTGGAAAGCAGAGTGCGAAACTTACTTGATAGCATCACGTTTGCTGTGTTTGTATATACAAGCCGGGGACTTTTCGAGCGAGACAAACTCGTATTCTTGTTCCTCATTACGATACAGGTAATATCTTGTATTATTACTAACATTAAATCATTAGTATGGGATAGTATGGATTATAGTTTACACCGATTGTACAATGAATAAAATGATTTTTTCTCTGATTTTGAATTGTTGGATACAACTGTGACTTTAAAAAAAATTATATCCCAATCAAAAATGCTAACCGTAAATAAGATAAAAAAATATATGAATAAGAAATTTCTACAACTGTTCATTTCGCATGCATAATTATGATAAAAAAATAACTTTCGTCCCGAAATTAAAAATAAAGCTTAAAAGTTTTCTCTCAATTTTAATATTATTATTTTTTTATTTTTTACAAAGTTGCATTTATGTTTTATTCATTGCTAGGTGCTGCAAGTTGAAGGCAAAGTAGATCCACGTGAACTAGATTTCTTGCTGAAGTACGCGGTTGCGCCCGAGTCGTCTCCATACAGTTGGCTCACCAACAACTCTTGGGGTGGGGTCATTGCGCTATCGAAGATGGACGCTTTCGAAAATCTTGACAAGGATATTGAAGGCGCAACTAAGAGGTAGCCTTTTAAAACTTTAAGAAGATGTTTGTATAAATCGTGCCTTATATTATCACGGATGTTCTCTCTGCCTACCTCGCCTGAGACACAGCATAAAAATATGAATTTATAAAGTCTTTCTAAATTAAAACGTATATTTGATTAACAGATGGCAAAAATATACGGATGGAGAAGCACCAGAAAGAGATAAATTACCTGGAGAATGGAAGAATAAATCTCCTTTGCAACGTCTGTGTATAATGCGGGCTTTGCGCCCTGACCGTATGTCATATGCGTCTAGGTTAGTAATTTTCTTATATTATGTATGTATGTATGTATTATAATTGCCAATTTCCTTACGTGTCTTAATAATTATTAAAAAAATACATGTCAGATTGTCAAGGTCCTACCATGGTTTATGGCGCGTGTAACATATTATGATTTCGCACCAGAACATCAATTAACACTAAAAAATATATTGGAAAGGCCACTAAATTACTGATTCTTACCGTCTGGTTTCCCCTTAGCGCGTTCTGTGAAGAGAACCTTGGAACGAAATATGTAGAGGCTAGAACACCTCCGTTAGAGAAGTCTTTCTTGGAAAGTACAGCAACAACACCTATGTTTTTCATATTATCTCCGGGTGTAGACCCTCTGAAAGTAAGTATCATGAAGTTTATTTTGCTTCGATCGTCACGCCAAATTATTTTGACTTAAAAATAATCATTTGCAGGATATCGAGAAGCTAGGACGCAAGATAGGTTTCGCAAGCGACAAGAAAAACTTCCATATAGTATCTCTTGGTCAAGGGCAGGAAATTGTAGCAGAAGAGGCAATGACTATCGCCTCTGCAAATGGACACTGGGTCATATTACAGAACATCCATTTGGTCGCAAAGTGGCTTTCTGCTCTGGAAAAGAAAATGGAAGAGACCTTTGAAAACCCTTTGCCAGATTATAGGTATACAATGCTAGAGTTCATATAAATGTTGTACAGTCCAAATGGGCTCATTAAAGAAGTCAGACTTGAATAGTTTTTGTCTGTGTGTATACCTTTCTTTTATTAAATTAATAATTCATGAAGACGCGTTTGGTTATCTTAGGTTGTTCTTAAGTGCTGAACCTGCAGCGAGTGCTGAATACCATATTATACCCCAAGGTATACTTGAGTCAGCCATCAAAATCACCAATGAGCCCCCCATCGGCATGTGGGCTAATTTACATAAGGTATACCTTTATATTAACCCGTTGGATGTATATATTCTCCTCTTATTGCTGTCTACAAACTGTGGATATTGTATGTTCGAACCTTTGCAACTGATAATTGAATTCAAAATATTGAACTTCGAGCTAAAATTTAAATCTTACAGGCATTAGATAACTTCAGTCAGGAAACGATGGAGATGTGCAGCAAGGAAGCAGAGTTCAAGTCGGTATTATTTGCGCTGTGCTACTTCCACGCTGTAGTCGCTGAAAGACGTAAATTCGGTCCTCAGGGTTGGAACAGGTGACTCTTATAAATAATAATGAATAAAATAAATATTTCCAACACTCACACCAATTAGCCTAGCCCCAACGTAAGCACTATAAGGCTTGTGTTATGGGATGCTAGGGTAACGGATAGAATACATAAACTGTACATATATAAGTATATTTATATAGAAATAGATATTAAAAATCCATAACTGGAGTACTAATGCTCGTATTCATCACAAACATCTGCCCCCACCGGATTCGAACCCAGGACCTCTCGAGTCGGCGACACTACTACACTGAAACCCGGCGTACAAACCACTCGGCCACGGAGGTAGTCCAACCTCTCGTCGTCTTATTATAAACTACAATATTTATTGAATGTGGGTTTTTGTTCTTTATTATTTTGATAATTCGAATTTAAAATACTTAGTTTAATATATATTGTAAATATTGAGGCACTTAACTGCTAGATGTCTAAATTTAAAGAATATTTTACTGGATGGGATTTGAATCCGCACCTTCCGCATTCCGGGCGAATGCACTGACCAATTATGCTACCGTGACCATAATAAAAATTAACTATAATTGCTATATCTTCTTTCAAATGTTTAATACTTGTAAAGATATTCTTGTATTTAATTTGAGATTGTGTGTTACCCACAATGCGAAGAGATGGCGCTGCCTTCCAGCCTAAGAAATGCTAGAACGAATTCGACACAGCCATTAAGGTCGCGGTAGCATATTTGGTCAGTTTATCCGACCAGATTGCGGAGGGTGCGTGCTCGTCCCGTCTGCTGCCTGGACCGCGCGGATTTTTTTGTAGTAAAATTTTCTTTGGATCTGAAATACTAAGATAAAAATTACCTTAGCTAAGTCGTCAACTATTGAAACAGTAAATAATGTTAAAAATATTTATGTTACGTAATTGTTAGGATGCATAAAGCTTATTTTCACCATATAGGGTTTACCCGTTCAACTTCGGCGACCTGACCATCTGCGTGTACGTATTGTACAATTATCTGGAAGCAAATCCACGCGTACCATGGGAGGATCTCCGCTATTTGTTTGGTGAGATCATGTATGGCGGACACATCACCGACGACTGGGATCGTCGCCTCTGTCGCACTTTCCTGCTCGAGTATATGCAACCTGAGCTGGTACTAATTATTTTATTATTCAATCAAAATAGTTGTGTAAAAAGCTTAACTCTTGAGATAAACATAAGTATTCTCGGCAAATGTAAAAATCAAAATTATTCATTTGAGTGGTACAGTAGACCTTGATCCGATAGCTTCACTATAACAAAGTGATTATCATATGTTATTATTCGCAAATAATGCTATAACCTTTTTATAATAGGTTGATGGAGAGTGTCAATTAGCCCCAGGTTTCATATCGCCACCAAATTCTGATTATACTGGTTATCATGCATACATAGATGACTACTTACCCGATGAGACACCCTATTTATACGGACTGCATCCCAACGCCGAGATAGGATACTTGACCACCGTCTCTGAACGGCTATTCAAGGTATTATAGGGGTAACAAATGTTAAATTACTTAATTTAAAAATTTACACAATATTTTAAGGTTTTAAGTGGTCTTTACATAAAAAACAAACCTTTCGAAAAAAAATCACTGTCCTGACGCAACAAAAACAGCAGAATCACAAAAAAACTTGCGATATCAAATAAAGCAATAGATAACTGAATAGCAATTATGGCTCTGTGTAAAATTTAAAGGTGGTGTTTGAAATGCAACCTCGGGATAGTGGTGCACAAGCTGGTGGTGGTGCAACCAAAGAGGAAATGGTAGGTCATCATTTTTATCTTCTAACAGATCAATAGAAGATAAACTTCATTGCTGATTGACGAAGATAACAAATGTAAGTATTATTATTACAGCTGCGGATCATACTGGACGATATTTTAGACCGGGTACCGGAACCTTTCAACCTACAAGAACTAATGGGTAAAGTTGAAGAACTGACCCCATACACCATCGTTGCTCTCCAGGAATGCGAGCGAATGAATAGGCTGATGGGAGAAATTCGGAGGTCATTGAAAGAACTAGAACTTGGGTTGAAGGTAAAATGTTCCACAATTTCACTTTAAACGCAATTTTAGAATGTTAACACTTCATTTATTATATTGATCAGTGTAACTCCATAAATCCCGTCAGGATCTAAAACTTTATCACGTTGTAAAACTTTGCATTTTTGGTGTTCTAACATAAGTCTTTTCAATCAATAGTAACATCAGTGAAAGTACACGGTTCATATTTGTATGGAGGATGGTAGTCAGTCTCCGCTAGATTCCAAATTTTTATGATACGTAGTGCAATTTATTGTTAATCGTTTGACAAAAAACTAGAATCTATTTTATCCCCGTTTTTGATGTATAACATCTTTCCCCTCGTTTTTTTCTCGCAATTTGTGGGAGTGATTTCGTGAAAGGGGACGGAAGTGTGTAACAGGAAGTCGCGAAAGCGCGCGCTATTTGATTTGATTTTAGAACATAATGTCCAAATGCCTTAATCCTTTTGTAGTTGGTTTTATTCCTTTTTTTATTAATATAAGGTGAGGTTTCAAATGTTACACATCATACGCGACTACTGTAAGGCTCGCTCGTTTTTTTTTATTAATATAATAAATTATAATTTAAAATGAAAGTTATTGATTGGCAATTGGCAAGTTAATGCATGTAATGTTTGTTGCCAAAGCATCAAATATATTTCATTTGAATGAATTTCAAGAAAAATCATTCAAAACTTGGTAATTATACCATTTACTATATTTTTTCTTGAATTTCTAATTAGTAAATTATCCTATGATTTCACGAATATCGGCATGACTGGACTGATTGACATTTTACAGTGATTGAGTTGACTCCAATAAACTACTACAGACTAAAAATATAAAGTTATTTTATATATAAAGTTATATAACGGGGCAGAATCCTTACGAAATTTTTCAATTTTCAATAACGATTTTAAATTGATCGGAGATAAATAAAAAAATATAATGTCTGTTTATCTATCTATATATATAAAACTCAAAGGTGACTGACTGACCACTCGACGGATCGGGCTCAAACTTGGTATGCAGGTAGATGTTATGACGTATGCATCCGCTAAGAAAGGATTTTGAACAATTCTACCCCCAAGGGGATAAAATAGGGAATGAAAGTTTGTATGAAACTTTGTCAATTTTATACCGATCGGGCTGAGACTTTGCATGCAGGTATAAGAAGAATCATAGATGAATGTCATTGTGTATAATACAAGCCTGAGAATAAAAACTGTAGTCTACAGCTCTGAACCGAAGCGAAGCGAGGGCGGGTCGCTAGTGTTATTATATAAATCAAGCTTTCAAATGATATGCTTTATTGCTGCAGGAAACCGACTACCACTTTTGAACCGTCTTTCTTCAAATGTAGGGTGAGCTGACGATTAGCAGTGATATGGAAGATCTGATGGAGGCACTCTTCATGGATCACGTGCCGGAGTCATGGACCAAGCTCGCGTACCCCAGTCTGCTCGGGCTGGCTGCCTGGTTTTCAGATCTCTGCATGCGACTTACAGAACTTGAGAATTGGTCCGGTGACTTCAACGTAAGTGTATTTAGGAACTTAATGCTTTTTGCTTCAAGCTGAAAATCAACAGAAGCGAGAACTAGAAGATATGTCCTTAAAAGTAGTGTGCCAAAAGTAACAGTTTTAAGATTATTTTTAAGATTTTTTAGGGTTCCGTATTCCTGACAAGGAACCCTTATAGTTTCTAGTATCTAGTATAGGTTTATTATTTAATTATTTAACCTAAGGTTTAGTGTTAACTCTTGGCAGAGCAAGAAATCAGTAGTTAACTCGGTGGTAAATAAATTAACTTAGGAACGTGCAAGTGGGCCTAGGAGTCTGACATAACCTTGCAGCCGGCTGTAAGGTATCCATGACGATTTCACAACCGCTCCCCCGCCTGGGAGGAAACAAAAATAAATGTGCGGTTATATTATCATTCGTATTTAAAAAACAAGTGACTACCAGAAGTCTGAGATATCCCCACAAACTTGTTCTTGACACAAATCCAAAGACCAAGCGTTTCTTAAAAAATAGTTACGCAATGTGTAATGTATTATACAATAAAATACCACATGATATAAAAAAACTACCTTTTGACATGTTTCTAAAATCATTACGGAAATGGTTACTGGAAAAAGTTTTCTATTCAATTGACGAATATTTGAATTATAAATGACACTCATAATATTATTCTTATTAAATGAATTGATGCATGTATTGGTATTGCTATAAGTTTTGATTATCCTATTGAATATTAATGTATACAATTTTTTTTTATTCTATCTTATTACGGATTTTATTAATGAAATTGTATTTTTATTTTGTTATTGTTTTTCTTACAAAGATAAATGGAAATTCCTTTTGCATGCTATATCATATGCCTAAATAGGCTTAAAGCTACCTTTATATCTTTATTAACATGAACATTTCAATGTACCCACCCTATTTAATGGCAAGTAAAGAATTTGATTTGAATTTGAATTTGAAAAAAAGAATTAATATTAAATTTTGAGACATAGTTTAACTTTGATATAGGTACCTATTTTAGTTGAGATACATAGATTGATGTTAATTGGCTTTTCTAATTTCCGATATAGAAAATAAAGACTCCTGCTGAAATATATTGTGGTAACTACTCGTACAGGCAACTATGGATCCCATTACACTGCGCGTGGCACGACACGCACTTGGCCCATTTTGTAATGATTCTTTATTTATTTCTAATAGTCAGGAGGCAAGGTATTTAACAAAGGAACACGTTTTTAATTAGAAGTTACTCACATTAAGTGGTTCTCTAATTTTATTCATATTACCTGAGATGACAATGACTAAAATATACCTTGACACGATTTTATTCAGAAAAAATGTATAAGATCAATTTAGTCTATCATTCTATGTAAGTATGTACAGTAAAAATATCCCATCGTTGTAGTTACCACCAGCAGTATGGCTGGCAGGATTCTTCAATCCGCAATCCTTCCTGACGGCCATCATGCAACAGACGGCGCGCAAGAACGAGTGGCCACTCGACAAGATGTGCCTCAACTGCGACGTGACTAAGAAGAGCAGACAAGACTTCAAGTTCGTATACTCGCCTATATTATGTTTGTTGTTTCATTTATTTGTAGAATATTCATAACAGTTAAACATTCCTACTTGGCTAAATAAAATGTATCCTACTTCCTACTTATAATTTTCTCTCCTTTGATATTTATATGTAAATTCAAAGTTTCTGTGTTTGTTACTCACGCAAAAACGGATGAACGGATTAGAATGAACTGCAGCAAACAGTTTATTAATAGTTGGTATTGTTACACATATTAGAGTGATATGCATTACGCCCATCGTTTTTCCTTTATTAATTTTGGTTGGGGTTCCTGTTATTAAATTTAGCTCTGTATGTGTTAATGTCACACGTCAATTCAATACCAAATAATATCGCAGTGCACCGCCTCGAGAAGGCGCCAACATCCATGGGCTATACATGGAAGGTGCCCGATGGGACACGACCGTTGGTGGCATCGTCGAGTCCCGTATGATGGAGCTATTCCCCATGATGCCTGTTATTTATATCAAAGCCGTCACACAGGACAAGCAAGACACGCGCAACGTCTACGAATGTCCCGTCTACAAGATTCGGTAAGGCAAATCAATCATATTTGTAACATGGCACCATCCATGTATCCGTCTGGCTTTGTCGGAAAATCTTCCGAACTATAATATTTTCGCCAGCGCACTGCTGCTGTAGTTCGGAAGATTTTCCGACAAAGCCAGACGGATACATGGATGGTGCCATGTAACAAAATCTACCAGGGACTCTATTCTCAGTTCGATGTATCGTGATCTTTATGTATGTGCTACTTTATGACATTAAAAACTATACATGTTAAAGTAGAATGGACGTCGATGCAAAGTCAACTTTTGCAGAATGCAAGCACTCTGCAAAAGTTGACTTTTCGATATATCGTAATCGCCATCGACGTCCATTCTACTTTAACATGTATAGTTTTTAATGTCATTAAGTAGCACATACATCATGAAGATCACGATACATCGAACTGAGAATAGAGTCCCTGATAGATTATTATTTAATAAACTCGTCATGTCTCGTAACGGTACTACCACGTTAGCGTACTCGCAGTGAATCCGTAGAGAAACACTATGGAAACAGTCACACTCCATTGACATGACTATCGTCTTTGGAGATTATTTTTATCGAAATTGGTGACACGGCCAGGCAACTCCCACGATTCTGTCCTAGGTGAAGATGGCGCCGTAATAAGCAACAGTTTTTATGTAATTTTAGTACCTAGATACTAATATATAAAAATTAATGTACAAAGCTCTCTACACAAAACTTCGATGCGATGCGGCGCGAATTTTTGCGATACGAATCCGTGGGCAAAAGCTTTGGTTAGGGTGACGGTGACCATACCTTCAACGGTAGTCAGTCGTGTTGGACGTGTTTTAGTAATAGTAACATGGGTTGCAATAATATTGTTGCACTGCTGTTATTGTTAAATAGATAACAAAGAAAAAAGAAGACTAAGACGACCTCTGTGGCCGAGTGGTTTGTAAGCAGGGTGTCGCCGATACGAGAGGTCCCGGGTTCGAATCCCGGTGGGGGCAGATGTTTGTGTGATGAATACGAGCATTTGTACTCCAGTCATGGATGTTTAATATGTGTTTCTATATAAATATACTTATATATATATACAGTATATGTATTCTATCCGTTACCCTAATATCCCATAACACAAGCCTTATAATGCTTACTTTGGGGCTGGGCTAATTGGTGTGAGTGTTGGAAATATTTATTTATTTATAAAAAGAAAATTTTGGGTTAATACATTTATTACGATTATGAACGCTGATGGGAACTATTATACTCGAAAATACTATGTTGTGAGAACAGAAGGTTTTTATAATTATTTTAGAATGAGCATATCTTCATTTGAAGATTTCAATTCAGAGAAGGTTCAACTACCTAACGAAATTGCTATGGCTATTGCTATCGCTTACGATTTCTTTTTCATTAATATTGTTATTACCAATGCAAAAGAGAAAAACGAACGCGAGTCATTTGATAATCTAACTATATACCGAATTATTTCATTAGGAATTCGTCATTTTCTAATTTGAATTTAATTACTTTGCGGCCTAAGGTAAATATTTCTGTTTCTTTTGTAAATTTGGACACTTAATTAATGTCAGCATTAAGATTTCTTTTTTACCCGACTGCGCAATGCAAGAGCGCGAAGCACGACGCGCAAACAGGGTATAGTGTTTAACAGTCTATGTATGTATGTTCCTTTATGGCACACTAGAGATCAAACACCTGCACGATTTTGATGACTCATACGTCAATCGATTCATCTTTATCAGGGGAGTGCTACTAAAGATATGATAATAATCGAAATTTAATATGGGGACAATTAGGCACCATATTGTGAGAAAGAAAAAAAAAAGTTGACGAAATATGGGTATCATTGTTTAGAGAATCAAAAATCATGTTTAGGTTCCTTACACCATTTTTCACTTTATGTGACTGTTTAGGATCTATATCAATTTAAAGTTGTATAATAGTCACTCTTAATTTCGATCTTACGTTTGTACGAATCTTTGTAACTCTCACTCAGAAATAGTAAATGGTTTTTAATAAAACAGCAATAATATAGCTTACACATAAAAAAACGAAAGAGCCTTACAGTAGTCGCGTATGATGTGTAACATTTGAAACTTCACCTTATATTAGTAAAAAAAGAAATAAAACCTCCTACAAAAGGAATAAACCTTTTGAACATTATGTTCTAAAATCAAATCAAATTGCGCGTGCTTTCGCGACTTCCTGTTACACACTTCCGTCCCATTTCACGAAATCACTCCCTCAAATTGCAGGAAAGCGAGAGGAAAGATGTTACACATCAATCTGACATATAAAATTCTCGTGTCGCGGTGTTTGTGGTTAAACTCCTTCGAAACGGCTTTCCCGATTCTCATAAAATTTTGTGTGCATATTGGGTAGGTCTGAGAATCGGACAACATATATTTTTCATCCCCCTAAATGTTAAGGGTAATCCACCCCTAACTTTTTTTTTCAATTTTAGATAAATTTCTTTTTAATTTTTTTATGATACATCATACATAAATACATACATCCCTAAATTTTCAACTTTCTACCACCAACCCCTATTTTTTTATGGCGGTACGAAGTTCGCTGGGTCAGCTAGTAATAGTATAATAGTTTATGTAGTTATTGAGTGAATTGGCCAAAATATAAATATAAAAAAAATCCCGTCTTCGAGCCATTTTGGGCTACACATCAAAAACAATAAAAATTATATAAATATAATGTATAGTAGAAATTTATCTCATAAATAGTTCTACAAAAAAGTCCCCGGCAGCATATATCTATCTTGAATGTGTAAGCCAATTATCGCTAAAACAGTGAATCAAATATAAAATATTATTTGATATCCATTTCGAAGATGCACATTCTGTATTAACAAAATATTTTTTTAACATAACAAATACTTTCATTGCTTCTGATATTTAAAGACGATAAACCTTGCTTTTTACACTATCATTTCGACAAAAATTTAAAAAGTTACAACGATGACAAAGTGCTGTCGCGGCGTACTATGCAGGAGTAGACTGCGGAAAAGGTGGGAGAAGAAATCTTGGTGTTTATAAAAGTAGATAAAACCTAGGAAAAAATGGAAAAAAAATCAAAGATACCCGACTGCTTAAATATTACTTCAAATAAAAATTCAATAATGGATTATTTTTTTTCAGTAATGGTTCCCAACTGTTAAAGTAACTTTATTCCTTACTTAAGAGAATTATAGACTACTGGACTTATTTTTTTTATGTTCAGTTTTTATTTGAAGTAATAATTAAACAGTCGGGTTTTTTGATATTTTAAATTAACTTTTTTTTACGCCTAATATTTAAAACTCCGTCAGGAAGATGAAGCACATCATTATTGCTTAGAACCGTCAGCAGTCCTTAAAAATTAATGATTGCCTTAAAATTGTTTGCTCATCAAAAAATAGGATAAGATTTTTTATGTAATATAGGTTTTCCGTTATTTTGTTACAGTTTTCGAGGCCCTACATACGTCTGGACCTTCAATCTCAAAACTAAAGACAAGCCTACTCGCTGGACGCTGGCTGGAGTAGCACTTCTACTAGGAGTCTAAGCTTTATGCGTTTTGCTTCATGAGATGAGGTACCTTACTGTGTACAATAATTTTAATTTAATATGTTATTTTAGTAGAGTAATAAAACATTAATTTAAAATTACTTTTATTTTATTAACTTTCATCATATTATATCCCATGTATACAGCTGAGTAATGCGATTTTATTCAGTGCTAACAACAAGAGACAGAATAGTAATAAATAATACTTATATATATAGGTAGTACTTGTGCATACTTAGTAATATCTCAACAGGAAGACTGCACAATTAATTTCATATAAAATATTGAAGAAAATAATTTAGATGTTTTTTTAATATCTTTTAAATATGTGATTATAATAGTATTTAGAAAAATAAATATTCTTATACCTTATATTCACTAACGGACGGCTTTTATCAGTCTAAATACATATTTATAAAGTGCATAATACATAAATCCTTCCATTAGATGATTATAATTTTAATTAAATCATAGCACAACCTTGTTTGCTGTCGATCTGGCAGTGAGTATTATAATACGTCTTAATACAGTTTTTTCCCATTATATCTGATCAACACTGCTCAACGCTTTCATTCTTTAGTGACAAAACCTCTTACGTCTTTTATAAAGACAATTAAAGTGATTGGTCTATTTCTATTAAAGTAAAATTCTACGTAACGAACCAAACAACAAAGATTTCATTTTATATATATTTACGTAGTACTTCTCCAGCAAATATGTAAACTTGTTCAGCCACTTTTAACTGTTTTGTTAGTAATTGGAGCATTGGGAGAAGCATTGTCATTGTCAGATGTAGGCTCAGAGCCCTTTACCGTAAATGTGACATAGTATCTCTTATTTTTGTCCAGTCGTTCGGCTGGTAAAGCAATGAGTTGTTTTTCGGTGCCATGAGACACTTCCAAAGTAACATGCGCTTTGCTAGAGCCTGTAGGAGGCTTTGAGTTAATTTTGGGCAGAAAACCTTTGGACTTCGCAGTCGATCCTGCTGTTGCCGGTTTTGGCATAGTATGATGATCCCACTTGTATGGTACTAAAAACATAAAAATATTTGCTGTTAATGATTTTTTAAGCTAAATGCTTACTGCTAGATGATAAATCTAAAGAAAATTTTACTAGAAAAAATTTGACACGGTTCGAGTCCCGTCTGCTGCCTGGTCAGTGTGGAATTTTTACATGTAACATTTTCTTTATGTTTAAGATTTACTGTTAATCAATTTAATGCGTAAAACAATACAGCAACTGCCACCATCATAACACGTAATAAAGATCATTTTAAAAATAGGAATTAATATTAAAACTTACTATAAGCTGAACAAGGTATGCCAGTGTAAGCATGTACTGCGTGAAAACATCGATGCGTTTTACTGGTGCAAAGACACGGGTTGTCTGGAATGGCACTCATTTTATACAATTCACTTTCTCCATAGTCAAAATCGATTGGTTTCTCTGGTAAGTTGTCTAAATGCTTTTTACCACTCTTTTGCAATTTCCTCAAATTGTCATACAAAAATTTTTCAAAGCTACTAAACGAATAGTCCGGATTGTTGTATGGCCCTACACCCACTGTGGCCAAGTTAGATTTGTTGTATTCATCAATAGCTCGTTTCACAAGGACAGCTTCGTTTGCTTTACTGGTCCTTATTTGCAGGCGTTTTAATTCAAAGAGATGCTGAAATATCTTCCTTTCACAATAGTACCTGAAACCAAAATTTCATTAGAATTCAATTAAGCATAAATCCAAAAATATCTCGCAAGGACTTAAAAACAACACTATTGCATATATCAATGCATCACAGTAAATTTAGAAACAACAGTTACAAATAATTATCGGTTATCGCATTTGTAATTCTCTTTCGCGTACACCAAACCAATATAATAATGATAGATAACTATTAAAAATTATTTACGCGGCATAGTAACTTATGACATACCTTCTCATATTGGTCTGGATTCGCTGTGTAACAGATTTCATATCTACAGCGCGTCTATCCCCTGGCTTACGCACAGGTATTCTGCTATCCGACTTTCCCGAGTACCTCCCACTAGCATTCCTTTGTTGATAGTACGCTGCTAAACGAGGACTCATTATACGACGTTGTAGTGCTCTAGGACTAGGCTCAAAACCAGAATCCATCAGCCCACTAGATTCATAGCCCCTTTCAGAATTTTCACTCTTTGATCTTATTGTAGTACGACTTTTTGTACGACCTTTCTTACGAAACCTTTTTCTTCGTCCATTTGCTTCAGATTGACTATAAATTTCATTATCACTTACACTAGGTACTCTCCCTAAACCATCTTTGGTTAATAATTCTCCCTCAAAAATATCTTTTCCGTCTCCGAGGCTCCCATCTTGTTTGGAAAAAGATTTTTTCAGTATACCTGTAGTAACTTCTGGTGCACTGACCACCTCTGAAAGTACCTTATAACTCTCAGTTTCGTAAATACTTCCTTTTCTGCTACTTATTTGACTATCTTTGGAAGACTTCCTAGTTCGTTTTGGAGATTCTGCCAGAGGCAAGTTGATATCATACTCCTCTGCTGTATTTCCCATTATCACTTGTTGTAGAGCACGGTCTGCAATGTTTGTTTGACTATCTATTATGGTAACTATAGCCTTTTCTTCAATTTTCTCAACACTTATTTCGGTACTGCTGCCCGTTGTAGAAGCATAGTGACTTCGTTTGTCGTCAGTACTTAAATTATTGTTTTCATTGCTATCTTTAAGATCTTCATTTTTTACTAATTCTTCTTTTTCTACGATAGTGTCTGAATGATCAACCAACTCACCCATAAGATGGTCAGACTGTTTATCTGAATCCTTACTTTCAAAAATTTCATCCTTATTTGCAAAAGAGACTACAGGTGAGGAACTTTTTTCTTGTGGTCCTATTTCTTCTAAACCTGAAGCATCCAAACTCGTCTTTAGTTCGCTACATGTTTCTTTATTCAGCATCATAGTTTCATCAGGACCAGATAGTACTTGGAATGATCTTTTTCGAATTCTCTCTAATGGAGAAGAACTGTTTAATATTACTTCGCCCATCTTAGTATCTTCATTCGCTAAATCTCCATCTTTAATCGATTCCTGTAATTGTGATAAATTTGCTTCTTTAGTTGATACTTGTGTCAAAATTGCCGTATTCTCTGTATTTGGAATATTATTAAGATCATTAGATTTTATCTTAGATTCTCCTTCCTCTTTTTCAGTATTTATAGATTCTTCTTGTTTTTCTGCTTCTTCCGCCGAGATTTCAAGCAATTTTTTACCTTCAATAGACATTTTACTGTCTGTGTTGTCTTTGGATTCCTTATCTATTTTCTTTTCATCAGTTATATCTTTATGATTAACTGAGAGGTTTGAAGTTTCAATCGATACATTATTGGAGGAATCTACTGTCACTGTTAACTCTGAACTTCCATGCTGACTAGAGTCACGTTCCATATGTATTTGTGCCTCTGTAACAATCATATTCGTTTTTACGGACACTGTGTCCGTTTCAGTTTCACTCAAATTTTTACTTTTAGCCAGTGCAGTTTCGGTTTTGGTTAAATCGCCATTTTCCTCCACTGATCCGGATTGTTCTTTAACAACATTATTTTCTTTATCATCTGATTGAGTTTGTTCAACATTTTTATATTTCACGATATTCACACTCTGTTTTTCATTATCATGTTCTATGTGAATAGATGTCTTTTTCCCTTTCCTTTTCGTACTTCGCCGTTCACTTGATTCTGAACTACTGCTTTCAGAAGGCGAACTTGTTTTCCTTTTTCCACGTTTTCTGTGCCGTTTCTTTTTTTCTGGGTAACTGTCTTCTTCTGACGAACTTTCTGTTCCTGATTTATATCGCCGGTGATGTTTTGCACTACTACCATTTCCCCGTGATGGTTCACTTCTTGATCTACTTTTTCTTGAATTACGCTTAGACTTCTTTGAATTATACTTCTCTTTATTATGTCCTTCGTACTCTGTGTCATAACCATCACTAAAACTTTTTTGACTTTCCATCAGTTTTTTTCGCCGCCCGTGGTATCTATCCGAATATTTAGTGTCTGATCTTCTTTTAGATTTTTTTCTATCTAATGATGACGATGATGTTGACTCACTGTCACTTCTATCTTTCAATTGCCGTCTGTCAGCAATCGGACTTGATAGTTCAACCACTTCGCGCTTTTCTATTCTAATCCTATCTCGCACATCGATTTTGGTACTAGTTACCCTTCGAGTTGGTAAAGCTGTTATTGAAGCATTGTCAATAATAATTTGTGTATTTGCTAATTTGGAAGCGGGTAAACCTCCATGCATTTGTAAATATTTTGCGGTAGATCTATGACCTCGGCTAGTTGCACAGTCTAAAGGAGTCAAAGGTTCATTTTTTGATGATCTTGCTACCGGATTGACTTCCGCACCGCGATCTAACAGTAGACGACAGAGATCGGCATTATCTGTCGCTGCCGCAATGTGTAGAGGAGTACGGCCTTCATGATTTGTGGCATTAACTTGTGAAGGCCTACCATCTAATAACCACTTGACCAATTCTCTACGACCTGATGCAACAGCTTCATGAAGCGGAAGATCGCCTTTTGAATTACGCAACCATAGGTTTGCTCCTCTTGCACCTGAAAAAAATTCTTTTTGTGAATTATGAAATCATATGAGTAATTTACTAATATAACTATGCAGTTATAAGCACCCACGCACTGTATCCACGTGGTATGTCTCGTTCTCCTTAGGGATATTTTTTTATAGATAAGACCTTTGTCACATATGACACAGATCGATTTAGCTTTAGGCTGTAGGGGTGTGAACAGAGCTTGGGCCGGATTTGTTGTCACGGTAGATATCGATCGATGTTGAGGTCAAGTATTGCAGCATCTTCAAACAAAATAAGGAGTTACATCTTACCAAGTATTCGAACGGTTTCGATTTGACCTTTCGCAGCAGCGGTATGGGCAGGGCTTCGGCCACGTTTATCCTGTCGATGGGCATCGGCGCCGTGTTGCAGCAGTGCAGCCGTTGCGTCGGCGTGGCCCAGTGCCGCGGCATAGTGCAGCGGTGTACAACCATGTGAATCTGCCACATCTACGCGTGCACCGCATAATCCGACTAACGTCTCAAGTGCCTCTGTGTGACCTCGAGCAGAAGCGCAATGCAACGCTGTAAGACCATCGCTGTAATACAAATACAAAGTATAAAATATATAATTGTTTACTTCACTACCAGCAGCACATTCAGAGTGTCAGAAAAGGAAATATAATGTTTAGTATGATATATTTATATTATTCGTTATGGAATATGCTTATTTGTTTCTTAGGTTTTCACGCACATCACTCATTAAATAAAACTAGTTTTTACGGGTTAATGCACGAACTTTATTTATTTATTGACGTTTCGCAGCCTTTTCAGGTCTGCATCGTCAGAATAATGATTTTTTATTTAAAATTGTCGACCTACCTTCGAAAGACTTATATTGAGCGTTCGGTTATTTCACTGGAAGATTTTTAAAATTTTATTGTCTATGTATGAATTTATTATTTAATTTACTTAATAAAGTATTTTATTTAAAATTCTTGTTTGTAATTTTGAGTTTATTTATTTATTTGACCCTAACTACCGTAAACTACCACCGGTTCCAAAATTGGGAGACCTTCCTGAGAAGAACCGGCGAAACAAACTCAAGAGAGGCTTTCTATCTCCTTCTTATGTTAAATTATGCAAACAAAAAGAACTAATAGTATCTGATGGTCTTGCAGTGTGTGCTCGGGGTTGGGATTTTATCTCCTGTATAATAGGTTCCCAAGCTGGTGGTATATACCAACCATCTTCCCTATTGAAATTTGGATATTTTTTAATCTCAATAGCCTCGCGCATCATTCGAGGAACGAACCGCCGCTCAGCTGCAAGGATCTGTGGTCTATCAAATCTAATGTAGTGGTTTGGTCCTCCTAATGCATGTTCACATACTGCAGATTTATTTTCGCGCCTATGTTTCATATCTGCGATATGTTCTTTTACCCGAGTCCCTATACTCCTCTTTGTTTGCCCGATGTAGGAGAGCCCACAGTCGCATTCAAGTTTGTAGACACCAGCAACTTGAAAGGGTATATTGCACTTGACCGGTCGTAGGAACTGGTTGATCTTCTTTGGCGGCTTGAAGTATGTATTGATTGGAGCACGCTTCAGAATCCTCCCAATCTTGTCAGTGACTCCTTTCATGTAAGGTAGTATAGCAGGTTGTCGGTCGACTGTGCTAGGTTTGACGCGACTGTGACGGCGGCGTGGTACATTCAGGTTATTATCCTTCAGTACTTGCTCGACATGCTGAAGTTCAGCTGCCTGGTGTTGTTCGTCACAGACACCCCGTGCTCTCTGAAACAAAGAGTTTCCTACGGCAGTTAATTGTTTCGGGTGATGGTATGAGTCACCATTGAGGTACCTATCAGTATGAGTCACTTTACGATACACAGTATGGCTTAAACTTTGGTCAGGATTCCTGATTAAAAAAATATCTAGAAAAGCTAGTTTACTATCTGCCTCTAACTCCATAGTGAATAGGATGTTGGGGTGTATAGAGTTAAGGTGATTTAAAAAGGCAGAAATTTGATCTGTTGGGAGGATTGTGAAAGTATCATCTACGTACCGTTTATATAGCCTGGGTGTGACAGGTGCTGCGCTGAGAGCCCTCTCCTCGAAGTCTTCCATGAAAATATCGGCGACAACAGGTGAGACAGGGGAACCCATTGCAACACCCTCCATTTGTACATAGAAGTCATTCCCCCATAACAGGTAGCCAGAAGTAAGGCAATGCTCCAGTAATACTGCATATTCTATAGGCATATTATTTTCAAGTAGCTTCTTCTTAGTGATTTCAATGCAGTCCTGTACTGGTAGGCATGTAAATAAGGACTGAACATCAAAACTGACCATGATTTCATTGTCCGTGAGACGTTGATCTCTAATCTCATTGACAAAATGGTATGAATCTTTCACAAAGGCTGTTGTGTTACCTCTCAGTGGTGAAAGTAACTTTGCTACGTGTTTAGCCAAACGGTATGTTGGTGAATCAATCTGGCTTACAATCGGACGTAGTGGAGCATTCGGTTTGTGTATTTTCGGTAACCCATACAGTTTTGGTGGCTTGGGACATGCAGGAATTAGGTAGTTGATGTCAAGATCCAACGTTTCGGAAAGTGATTTGATGAGTTCACTTGTCTTTTTGAGAATCTTGGCGGTCGGATCACTCTTCACAAGTTTATATGTCTTCTCATCCGATAGAAGTTGTAGTATCTTGTCGTTGTAATCTGACGTATCCATTACTACCGTGGCGTTTCCTTTATCTGCACGAAGGATAGTAAGTTCTGGCTTAGTTCGCAAGTTCTTAAGTGCAAGGTATTCATCACGAGGAAGGTTTGATTTCGGAGGTTTGCTCCGTCTTAACACTGATGAAATGTCTTGACGCAGCGCCTCCATGCCTTCCTTTCTCATGTTGTTTTTCACTAAGCAATCCAAATAAGAATATGCTTATTATAATGTCTCCGTTGCATAAAAAAATGTCAAAATTCTGAAGTCATTTTTTACTGATTTATTAAGAAATGCTAAAATTATATTTTGAAAACTAAATTATTATAATATCTTTTTTGTATTGATAGACTTAGTTTTATTGTCTTAAGTAAATAAAAGCGATCAAAAAAATATTTTTTTTATTTAGTTGAATTTCACATTACTATAAATATTTATATTTGTTACTTTAAGTAAAAACAATACATTTCACCAGTGCTACAAAAACCTGTGTAGGTTTAATCGAGTATAGGAATCGTCATCTTTTAGATCGTTTTTCATAATAATCTTGCGTGGTACGTTCGTTTTGTATCTGCATCTATCCTCTTTCTACGACTTGTCGGCGGTCGTCCCTCACTGAGCAATGAGTTTATACACACGGGCGGGTTCTTATCAGACGTTTTACTAAATATTGTTACTATTTAATGTTGTTAAAAAACATTAAATTTGACTATATTAAATACTGTTATTCTTGTTTAAATAACTGTAAGCAATAATATATTTTTAGCATGTTGTTAATATTAATTTCACTAATATATTTTTTTTACATATAGTGATAATTCGTTAATTGACTTGGTTACTGAAACTGTAATAATTGCTTACCATAAATATTATTTTATCTTGGGATATTGAATGTAAGTGCTGATGCCCTACGGGTTTGCTTACTGTGCTGCTTTATAATACGAAAGTTTTCATTAAAATAGTTTTCTGAGATCAGATTAGATTTGACTTGATCATGTACAGGCAATACGTTATAATGGTAGAAGAGTTAATTTATATTGTTTTTTAATTGCATTTACTAAAATTAGGAACTATGGCTTTTTTTTAAATTCTTACCTGTATATTGTATATAAGGTTCAAATGTGATTTTACAGTTCTTCCATAGCTACTTATATCATAGAATAGTTAAATAGAAAGCTTTATTGTCATGCTGAGTACAATGGTGTTACAAGTAATGTCGTAGTTCTAAACAGCTGCCCGTTTCGGACGTACAATATTCATTATCGGTGGTAAATGCTATTAAAAATTTCGAAAATACTCTTTTAACTTATAAAAACATTAACTTATTAACCATTTCTTTAATTTAATTTTAAATTCCAACAAATTTAAATCTTTAATGTAATTGGGCAAATTGTTAAATATTTGAATTCCACTTATAAGAGATTTTTTCAAATCTTAATGCAGTATTCATGTAATTTTTATATTAGGCTCGCTTATTAACTTTAGTCAGTTTTGTTTACAAAAATATTCGTCATGATTCGAATTTCTAATCGTTTCTCCCAATGCCTTATATAATTGCATAAGTATAAAAGTAGTAGTAGTATAAATAAATGTTTATTTTCTTGTTATAAATATACTTACAACTCGAAGAAAAACAGTTTGCAATTTTTCATAAAATTTAAAATTACATTTTGATAACAAAAGCAACATTTTATACACAAAAATATTGTTTCTTTCATTAATTAAGTATAAGAAACAACTCAAAGAAAAAAAGTTTGCAATTTTCTATGATTTTATTCTGATGACAAAAGCATACTTTTTGAACAAAAATATTTTTTTTCTTACATTAATTAGGTATACGAAATCAAAATCTAATACAAAGAACTCAGACTCAAAATTCGTGTTGACGGTTATAATTAACGCTCACAGCAGCCTTGTGCCTGGTGCGTCGCTGCAGTCGAACTTCTGGTACAAGGTGCTTGCTTGATGTGATTAACTTACCGGTCTGCGTCGTCGACCCTGGCCCCAGCCTGGTGCAGCGCAAGCACCGCGGCCGCGGAGCCCGCAGACGCCGCCCACAGAAGCGGCGTGCGTCCGTCTGCGTCTCGCACGTCGACGCGCGCGCCTCCTTCGCGGACTAGCGCGCGTAGCACCTCTAACGCTGCTCCGCGACTCTTAAATATTATCGCAAAACTTGACTAAATAAAATAGATTTTCTGCAAGCCTAATAAATGTAAAATTGAGATGTTGAGCCTAGATATGATTTAACCACCTTTCATCTGACAGGCGGTTAAAGCCTATCTAGGCACAACATTCAACATTCTATGCAATAACCAATTTAATAGTATACAAAAGTAAATGCATACCTTATACGTACACCTATTTACCTAGCATGATCATTAATTATGAGGAACTCTGTGTCGCAGGTTATTAGCGGGTTCGATCTGCGATCTTGGAAGTTGAGCAACTTTTCGCAGTGGCCGGTCATTGGATGGGTGACCAAAAACTTATTATCTTGAGCACCTCCGTGTTTAGGAAGCCATTTTAAGGCACTGGTCCTGGCTGCAATTGCAGTCGGTACTTCGTTAGCACCCGCCAGCTCTGTGTGCCCGCGTTTTGGGTCATGCATTGCCCATGCTCCCATCAAAACTTTTATATCTTAGTCTACTTCAAAACTAACTATGCAAGTTATACATCTTGGCAAACTTCTTGAGTATCGATAAGGAAGGAAGTAGACATAGAAAAGGATGTTTGCGCAGTAGCAATATTACATCTACGTCAAGATCATCGTCATCATACGTCTACTGCGCCAGTTAGTCTGTGGTGTTGTTCAAGAATTTTATCGCTAGCTATACCTGGTGGTCAGTGGCAGCCGGGGCGCCACACATCTGCGCGGCGTAGTGCAGCGGATACCCGCCGTGCTGGTCCGGCGTAGCTGCATCAGCCCCTCCGGCCAGCACCGCCCGTAGAGCGCCCACTTCACCACACACTGGCAGTATAACAGTTATGCTTATACATTTTTACTGCTTTGAACGTCCTGTGTATTTTCAAAATAGGGTGCTGCGGAATTTCTCCTCATGCATTCTTATAAGTAACAGGTGTTCGGATGTGGGGTCACTGTTAAATTAAGCATGCTAATATTGCCCGAACCCGATATTTATTGGTAGAAATAAATATTATCTTTATTCATTTCTGTTTCACTCGATTGCTTTTCAATAGTACCATCGATGGTCGTAACTGGTTATATCCTTAGCCATGCCTGTACAGATAAACATGGATCCTATTTGTAGACGGGTAATAGAAATTTCTCGAAACCATAAGGCTGCTAAATAAATGCTGCCAAGGTCGTATTAAGCGCGTCAAAGAAAAGAAAATTTGTCTAGACACTTTTTTCGCCATAAAATGACCACTGTTAGCATATTTTTTCCTTCTTTGCCTTTTCACTATATCTGCTAATGAATACTATTTATTATTAGCAAATCGTGTAATAAACATCCAGCTGAGAATCTTTTCAATTGCGAATCTATTCACTTGCTACGGAGGGCTTAATTCTACTATATATAACCGAATAAAACAAAAAGTATAAACTTTTTGTTTATTTATCAACGATTCTGAGGACTTGGTCACGTCGCTTAGGGACTTTCGTAAATGACTCATCAATTAGAGGTAACCTCACAGCCTTAATGATCCAAATAACTCAGGCCTAGGTAGTATAGTCGATTGTCCGAAAGTTCAAGGGCCTGACCTTGGTGGACGCTCAATACTAGCCGCTCTGGTGCCCACTCCCTAACTGCCCACCCTACCTGACGACTCATAAGCATAAGTCATAATGCGGCAATCAAATCCCACCTAACTATATTTATAACAACTTCTCAGACACCCAATTTTCAGGTTATTTCTGTTGTATTCACTAATGTTGTATAATTATTTGTTTTGTTTAGAGTTCACTAGCTGTCATAATTTTTATTTTTTAAGCATGTAACTGCTTGATGTTTAAATCTAAAGAAAATATAACTAGAAAAAATTCCACGCGGACCAGGCAGCAGGCGGGACTCGAACAAGCACCCTTCGCTATCCGGGCGAATGCACTGACCAATTATGCTACCGCAGCCATAACGGACCGCGTCGAAATTCTTCTAGCCATTCTTAAGCTGCAAGGCAGCGCCATTTCTTCGCATTATAGGTAACCCACAATGTGAAATGAATACTTTTACAAGTATTAAACATTTTGAAAGAAGAAATAGCAATTATAGTTATAATTTTTATTTTTAAGCATGTAACTTGCTGGTTCGAGGCCCGTCTGCTGTCTGGTCCGCGTGGAATTTTTTCTAGTTATATTTTCTTCACTAGCTGTGCCCCGCGGTGTTACCCGCGGTTCATTAGGGATATTTTCCCGCAGTAAGCCGTGTGTTAATCCAGGGTGTCAGCTAACTCCATACTAAATTTTATTAAAATCGCTCCAGCCGTTTAAACGTGAAGAAGTAACAAACATACACACTCACAAACTTTCGCCTTTATAATATTAGCGTGATTACAAAAGAGGTAAATATTATCATTTACGATAAGTTTCATTTACAGTTTTTATGTGTAGAAAAAAAGAAATGTGTCTCTTGTTTTTCAAGAAAAGTTTGTTGCATGGAAAGGAAGGAAGGTAAAGGTCAGTGTCAGGATTTCCGAGTGTCAAGACCGTCGCAAGCTACGGAAGCCCCTCTGTCCTTATTCTCAGAATAACTATGACATAACACAGCTGTTATTAGTTTCGTTATGAAAGCGCTCCTTTCAGATTAGACGAATGAAGTTCGAATGACACTTACGAATTAAGAAAGCTTGTTAAATTGATGCAGTAAGATCTTTTAAATAACCACATAACTAAATAGAAATAAAAACACACGACCTTCCAAACATTTTTTTTCTCAATATTTATTGCGGGCAGCCCATAACGTTTGACTGTAATTTGAAGGCGAGAAGACGTTATAATATCGTATCCACATAAATTATTTTTGTGATTTCCACTTGTTACGATTCAGAACACTTAATTCGTCATGGCATTGTTGCAAGCTTGATAGATTTTAACTTATAATTTATTGTAATACAAAAAAGATTTTATCAGATATTTCAATGTATCTAAAATTATCTTCTCTTTCTTTCTGCGAGTTTAGGTTCTTGGTTTGTATCAATACATGTACCGTTTAATTGAATGTTGAATGTCATTTCGCTTTAGTGATTAAGTAGTGCGCTGCCGCCGTCCATGTTAATGTATCATCGACGATGACTGACTCCAAGTTAGGGCATCTAATTGGTCGCGTGCGAGCCTGCAGTCAGCTCGTCCGATGCACTGATAACCGCCAAGGCAACACTACGCCGAGTCGTGACACCACCGGTTAGATAACGCCTTGCCAGTCTGACTGACGTACCGCACACAGCAATCATTCAATACTCTATTCGCACTTGCTTACCTATTTTCTTTCAGAAATGTGTAATCTTTATGTACGAGTGCTATAATGTTTGTTTATCTTAGAAGCAATGCATTATCCGGTATTCAAAAGATAGCCTATGAATTTTATAGGTATGCCACTATTGCTTACCCTGATCCTATAGCCTATCCCGTGGAATTGATTATTTACGACAGAAACTTCACCACTTAACCAAAGTGTAGTGTTATTTCTCTGTGATCTTCTATTAAGTGGAGGTCACTCCCCCAGAAGGGTGCTCCAATCTCTGAGAAAATTTTGTAATACCCTACCGGTCCGAATGGCATGATATGTGGAAACATCCTTGGTACCACGCTACAGTTACTGAAGTTTAGATGTGTCTCGAAAGCTTATTCAAAGATGTAGCCCATTGCACAACGATGTGTTGCTCGTCGTCCTGCCCTGTATGTTGAATTCGACGCCAGCAAACACTTGCACCAGCGTACATTCCCATGCACCAACGCCAAATGGAGTGGGGGAGGCCATCAGCGTACGCGCAGGCCAATGCCGGCGCAGCCTGCGATACGCCCGCGCCACTCGAAGCGCACTCCACGCTATACTTGACTTAGCTACTTTTGATTTGCCTTTACTGTTAATACGAAAATGTTTCAAAAAATTACCTGTAGCTCAATGCACATGTACAATGGTATGTTGCTCGTCGTCCTGTGTGTTCACATCAGCGCCAACAGCCTGCAGCGCTTGCTCAAGAGGCACGTTTCCCTGCCCCACAGCTAAGTGGAGCAAGGTTAGCCATACGCCGGCGCGGCCATCAGTACGCGGTCTGTGTATACCGCACGCGCAGCTTGAGATGCTATCGATCAGCCTCAAAAGCTAATTCAAAGATATTACAAGAAATACCTGTAGCCCAGTGCACAACGGTGTGTTGCTCGTCGTCTTGTGCGTTGACGTCAGCGCCAGCAGCCAGCAACGCTTGCACCAACGGTACATTTCCATGCACCACTGCCAAGTGGAGCGGGGTGAGGCCATCGGCGTCACGCGCAGTCGCCAACGCCGGCGCAGCCATCAGCACACGGTCTGCGCAAGCAGCGCGCGCAGCCTGCGATGCGCCCGCGCCGCTTGACGCGCAGTAATGTAGGGCGCACCGAAGCCCGCGATCGCGGACGTTGATTGATGCTGGCTGGTTAGTAATAAGGTATCCTTAGCATTAAATGATTTATTCTAAATATAGGGTGCTAAAAGGAGAAAAACCAAACGTATCAGAAAGTCTCTAGGATGCGTGCGCGAAATAATCTAGGATGCGTAAAATCTTTTTGGAGCAGGAACCTACTCAAAACAGCACTGATAACAATAACTGCTGGCGACATTCTTCCTCAGTAATTAAGTAGTGTCCTTTAGTTTCTTTATTTTATTACTAAGATTTTGGGTACTGTCACATGCATGGTCACAATAGGACGATCCTAAAATCATGAATAAAATGACAATACAAAGGCTTTCTTTTGCTTTATTTTAACCTTAATGCATGTAATCCAAGTTTACGCAATCCCAGCAAGTGAGCATAAATTTTTGGAGCCAAATAACCGCGTGAGTCTCAGATAAAAAAAAACACGACTCAATCAAGTACTGTACATGTACTGTACATTTAGATTCACTGTAAATATTTTGAAATTTCATGTAAAATAAATGTTATTTATGATACAAGTGTGGTAAGTTGGTTATTACAAACGAGTAGACGAAGAATGTAAGTCCGAGACGAAGTCAAGAGCTTTTCATAGTCACGAGTTTGTAATACCACTTCACACGAATGTCATACAACGTGTTTCAACACATTTGCGAGAAAGCATTATACATAATTTAAGTAAATGAAGCAATTTTTTTCTAATAATAAAATGGCGCGCATTTCTAAAGTGCGCAACGTGCGGGCGGTAAAAATTAGAACCATATCTTTCGTGTATTTTTCTTTTTAGTATTAAAGTGAGGCATAGGTATAGACATAAAGCGCTTCCGAGGAGGTTCGAACGAAATTAAAAAAAAATCGTAAAGAATACGCATGCATGGTGCCATGTATGGAAGCGTGCGGAAAGATTTTTACCGCACGCTCCGCTGTATGGCCCGTAATTTTGAATTTTCGAACAATGATTACAACCTCCGTAAATACATTTTTTGAACATGAGTGAAAATTTCATTTTTATATGGAAAATGTTGCTTCTTTTATTATTTACCTGTCAACTTATATATTTCTAAGAATTAACATAATATTCAAGAGACATTATGGTATGCTTTGTGCACAGTTGAAATTACGATATGGTACGTATGATAAGAACATACAGTACCCCTAGCACGAACCATTATCGAATTCGTATCGTTTGCGAGTCCGAAATGTCATTGTCAAATGTGTACTGATTTTTAGTTCTCGTTACGTAATTTGTGCCGCTGCTGTTCAAGTTTCCATAAAAATTTTGACGTTGACATTTCGGTTTGCAAACCATTCGAATTCAATAATGGTTCGTGCTAGGGGTACAGTACCCTTAGCGCGAACCAATATCGAATTCGTATCGTTTGCGAGCCCGAAATGTCATTGTCAAATGTGTACTGATTTTTAGTTCCCGTTACGTACTTTGTGGCACTGCTGTTCAAGTTTCCATACAAAATTTGACATTGACATTTCGGTTTGCAAACTATTCGAATTCGATAATGGTTTGTGCTAGGGGTACAGATCTATCTGCGTTAACACCGTCCCCTAGCCCTACGACACCGCCCGAGCAAACATATGAGCTAAGGCTATTTAACTCTAGATTTAGCCCAGCCCATACAAGACGTTTTTGTATGGAATAAATATAGTTTAAGTTAATCGAGATTTAGCAAATTTGGGCCCTACTCCGGTTAACTGTAACATCGCAATAATAAATTAACATTGGTACGGTGGTCCATTGAACTGTAAAATTACCACCTGTCCGGTCAATTGCAGGTACCTAGTACTATAAGTAATTTTAATCATGGTCCAGTCAACCGGACTATCCCAACTGTACTACGGGCAATGCAAGAAAAGCAGGCATAATTATGCTGTCGCTGACTTTTTTGTAAGAATTTTGTCTGAGGTAATTTCACGATAAAACGTTTTGATGAAAATAGCGAAAATCGCATTTTTTTCACCTTTGACATCGAGCAATTTTTTTTCCAAGTACCGGAACAATGGGGGATTTAGATATATTATTTAGAAAAAAAATTTTTCCTAGTAAACTTTTCTTTAGATTTAAACATCTAGCAGTTAAATGCTTAAAAAATAAATAAAATCATAACTATAATTGCTATTTCTTCTTTCAAATGTTTAATACTTGAAAAAGTATTCATTTGACAATGTGGGTTACCTACAATGCGAAGAGATGGCGCTGCCTTGCAGCTTAAGGCTAGGAAAATTTCGACGCGGCTAATAGGGCCGTGGTAGCATAATGGTCAGTACTTTTAGCTTGATATAAATTAATGTACTTTTGATTATCTTGATTGATTGGATTATTAGTTTATTGCACACTTCTTCTCCACGTGCGAAGTCAAGCGGGCGTGCAAATTATTAAGTCAATAAACAGCTTTTCATTAACGTAAGTTAAATAAAACTTTTATTTGATTGATCAAATAGAAATTCAAAAAATCTTAGTTCAACATATCACTCCTTTTAGATCAAATTATCCCACCGACATTTATGACAACTTATTTATCAGTGAAGATTAAAATACTCTCATATTATTATACTAGCTGTGCCCGCGACTTTGTTCGCGTGTATGTCGGAAAATAAAAACATTTCGTACGTAGGTTAGGTTAGCTAATGCTTCTTGCATTTCTTTATTATAGTATCGTTACTGTTCATCTAGCGCCCGACGCGCGCTTTGTTTTTCCGCAACACTAACCTTACCCAACTTCGTCTGTTTAGCCGGGAGCTCTATTACTGCTCCAGACTCCCGAGCACTCCCAATCCCAGATGCCTCTTTTTTTGTCTGCGAAATGCCTTACGCGTCCTTCAACTATCATGGGATCGAAAAGAAGGTATAAGGAATAGAGCCACTTAAACCAGCCATTACTACTGCACCGGTCACCCAACACGCACTCTGAGGACCGAAGATCCAAGAGTGCGTGCCGTACGTGCGGGTGATGTTCCAGTAATCCGTTTCCGAATGTCCGTACACCCGCAGATGCCCCTGATCCTAGAAGGTGCCCTTGATAACGTGCCCCCAAAGCCCTGAGAGCCCCCGTCTCTTGGACGCCTCCACTTCTCGGGATTTCATTTAGCAGTGCTTTCAATTTATTTAATTTACGTTTTGATTGAGTATCCCGGTAAATTGTGGCATGGTATCAATAATGACCGATCATTTTTCTTTGACCATCCCACTCATAGTATTTTATAGCAAACTTAGTATTCAGAGTGTTTCTAACACGTGTTATAAATTTATTTACAGCGGTTTCGATAAAATATTACCAAAACCAAACGTAGTTAATCACACATTCACACGTGAAGAGTGTTTCCCCACTGTTGTGCCAGGGACAGCCGATTCGACATCTATCGATTGGTTATTACACCCTCTTCGAACGAAAACCCTTCGTTTTCATGGTGCATTTCCCCGAACATTAAATTTCTAACTTTCCAAGTTAATGTGATTAGCCGATTTTTTATTTATTGCGGTATAAAGTTCAAAACTTCTATATTCTGTAGGTACATTATAAGCTTTGATTCTCAAAGCTTAATAAATAATTGTTACATCATACATAATTTTTTGTCAAGAGACAGTGAGGACAACGATAATGACTCCTACGTAGGCTATATTTTATTACCTAGTTGGTGAAAAAACATTGACGGAAGCATTACGGTGCAGTTTGGCGTGGTTTGCCGGTGTGTCGGCGTGTCGATTGTTTACAAGGCAAGCGGTGCTCGAACAATCGCCCCGCTATTTCGCGTGCCTCGCCGTAGCACGACTTCATAATATCAAAACACCTTCGTAACACTGTAACAGGCTTGTGGGTTAGGCTTTTTTATTTAGCAAAATTGTAAATAGATTTTAATCCGAAATTTAATATTGGAATTATTTTGTATGTGAAAATTAAGTCATAAGTGCCAATTATTTCCATGATGCTGTGGTTATGATGACGTGTTAAATGAATGATCAGCTGTGTATACTAAGATATCCTATGAACCCAGCGGTGCAGAACTCACGTCCTTGTTGAGGATGTCGACCACAGCTTTGTAATCCGCCTGCTGGCAGGCGTACATGAGCGGCGTGCAACCCTGCGGGAGCGGCGTCTTTACATCCCCCTTTTTGGAGCCTTCCACCTTCTCGCGCTTGATCTTGGTGCTCTTGTCGACGAGGTCTCCCTTGGGGCGGTTTTTAGGTTTTTTCAGGATGCTCGGGACGGGCTCACGCCATCCCTTGGTGTGCTTGTCCATAACAGAGTGAATTAGTATGGTAGTGGCATGTGCGATGATGCCGAGCGCGGCGAGTGGGCGCGGAGGGCGCGGGCCTCCGACTGGACGGCGCAGCGGGTAGGCGGCTGCCCACTGGACTAGCCACTAGGTGGGAGGCCACGCAACGCCGCCGCCGACACCGCCCGCCCTAAACCTAATCTATTACTGATATCTGATTGCATAAAATCAGGTCACCGTTTCGTTTATTCACATAGTAAATTTTTTCGATTGTGTTCTTATCGTATTATTATTGAAACTATTTGACAGTGTTATACAATGTGTGTTGTAGAAACTTTTGTATAGTCATGACTCGCGTATAATCCCGAATAGGTATTATTTTTAAATTAATGAAAAGTGTTCCTTTTTATTTTTAGCTTAGTTTGATTTACATAGGAAGCAACAGTACATAGAGTTTACTTGAACTAACTTATTCAACAATTAATGTTTAAGATTCTTTCAGCGACTTACTTAGGTGAATTAACGATAACAGTACCTAGGTATTATATATCTTACCCTACGTTAAGCAAAACTTAAGATAATTAAATAACTTTACCATTTATCATCACCGTGTGATTTCAAGTGGGTACCAAGCGTCCCACCACATAGCTGAGCTCACAATTTTACCGTAACGTCGCATAAACATGAAAATGCCAAAAGTTAGTTCCAGTCACCAGCGTGACTAGCATGAGACTACATACATACTTATATGTCGATGTTTTGTTTCTCTAAACGTGACCAGAAAGTCGAGATCTCCCAACTTTAAATGTGACCTTTCGAAATTTTACGAATATTGGATCAAGTTCGGATGGTTAAGCGTGTATTATTTTACTATTAAGCTGTTGTGAGGGTTCGTGCTATTCGGTGAGTGTTAGGTTACGTGGTGCGTGACGTCATCACCTCCCCAGAAGGGGTTCCTCCCCCACTGATCGTATCACACTAACATAATTTTACGTCGCGAGCTACAGATGAGTCTACCCATAACTTCATCGTGATAAAACTTTTCAAGGTAACATCATTATTGTTGAAGAACCTTCTACGTTTCAAAGTCTTTTAGCACTAGTGTTTCCTAATGCTTACACAATATACTAATTTCATAACAAATCGGTGAACGGAATAGATAATTTGAAGTTTCTTTGAAAATAGAAACGCTATTAGTCATATTTTGTGTTAATACAAAGTCAATGTCACTTCAACTTTCTCGCCCACTCATAGTTAAAAGCAAGGAAAAAAGCTTTTGTGTTTATCGCTACGATTTGTTCGTAGCACAGGCATAGTTCGTAGCTTGCTCGTAGTCAGTTCATAGTGCGTAAGGTCGTAGAATGATTTGATAAATCGTATTTTTCAAAATGTCAAGGTATTTTGCGCAAACACGACTTGAAAGGGCATTGAAAATGAATCTACCTATTATACTTAGATTATTTCAAAAATAAATAAAAAATAAAAAAATAATTAATCTTCTTTTTTCTAAACCAAAAATATATTTTTTTCAAACCCAACTTTTCAAAATATTTTCACATCTTCTTAAAGCCCTTCAAATTCCGCGTCTTTTGAGCCCTCATGCATTCTCGTGGCCCTAAACCTTGGGGTATCATGGGTGATTCGCACTGTCTGCGAAAATGGGGGCCTACTGGAGCGAACGAAAAAACATTTTTAATTTGTGGGAAATTCTAATGTTTGAAACGCGACAGAGCTTGCGATGTAGTAATCCTTAAAATACTTACAAGATATGTCAAAGTCAACCTGTCGACTTGTTTGTTATATTGCTACGGACTATGACGTCACGCCAAGTCCTCCAAAATAACGAGCATTTAAAAAGTCCATGCAAGATGACTGTTTTCTTTTAATTTTTAGGTTTCCGTACTTCAATTGGCGAAAACGGGCCCCTTATATGATCTCTCAGTAGACTGTCTGTTTGTTAAAGTCGATATGCTAGAACCTACTGGACCGATCAAATTGAAATTTGGTACATATATGTATGTATATCTGTGACCCAAATAAGGAAAAATAAAGTAAATAACTAAATTCTGAATATGGGGGTAACACCCATTTTGGGGGGTGAATTAGAAAACGAAAGAGCAATGCCCATTTTTGGCCCACCCGCGGACAGTACTATAAAAAATAAATGAATTTTGCACAAAATTACATTTCATTTAATATCATTTTTAATAGTTATTAAAAGTCCGCCAGCTGTCTTAGTAGTTTTATAATTCTAATTAGATTGTGTAATGATTAGCCATTTATGAAATGTTTTTAGTAGCAACATTACGATCGATATATACAATATATCGATATTCAATTAGAATTCGATTAATAACTTTTAACACTTTGGCAGAATATGTTATACAAAACAATTTAAACCGTAGAGGCGCACATTTTGTGAATATAACTGTTGGCTCTGACAACTTAAATGATTTTCCACGTCTGAAAATGAGTCAATTAGTGTTAATTTCATATGGAACATACCAAATAAGGCAAAGTAGATCTTATTACGGAGAGCATGTCAGAGCCAGCGGTACATATAGTGTTGAAATATACAAAGAGGGCAACAGCAACCTACCGGGCGATTTCCTAGAAAATAATTGTTGGATTTTGAGGGAGAAAATTCAAAGCAGACATATTGGGCGAAAAATATATTATGTTTACATTTTAATAAATAATAATAATACTGGAAGAGAATCCATCCAACAGTATTATTGCAACTGTATTGTGGGAAAATGTACAGTAAGTTGTTGTGCCCATATAATGACCATCATTTGGTACATTAGTTGGGCTAGATTTAAAATAAACATTACTGCTCCTGCAACATTCTAGATGTTGTATTATGTCATTATGATAATGAAATACAAGATGAATAATTGAAACGTGTTTTATACTTATACCTCATTAATACCAATGCATGTACATTATAAACAAATAGCAATATAATAAACAAAATACAAACAAAAATAAATTGTAATTATAATTAAAGTAATGATAATTATTATTATTTCAACAAATAGTTATATTGCAAATATAGCAGGAACCAATAATGTGGCGGACTTTCTGTAACTTATTCTCATTTATATATACATTTAACTAACTAAAACAGTATATTTTTGAGCGATATTTGACTGTCCACTTTTGGGCCAAAAGTTGTATGGCGCATGGGCATTGTTCTTTAGCTAATTGTACCATATTATATATCAAATGAAAGGGCTCAATGTAAAAGTTTCGAAAGTATTTATTTTACAATTGTATTTTTTTTATGAAAATAGATGAAAATTGACCCTTCTTGCCTTTCTTTGCCTTGCCTTTCCTTATCTCCATAATGAAACCGTCTAAAATTTTGAAAAAAAATAACAAAATATGAAGCCCTTTGTTTGAGATTGCAGGAAAATATAAGAAATTTGTAAATGGTACGGAACCCTTAGTACACGAATCTGACTCGCACTTGGAAGGTTTTCTTTATTTTAGACACATTTTTTTAGATGTTGAATATTTTTATATTATGGGGATGTATACAAGTACTGCAAATAGTAAGTAGCTGCTGCAGCCTAAGAAATACTAGAAGATCTGCGACACGGCCAATAAGGCCGCGATAGCATAATTGGTTAGTGCATCCGGCCGGATAGCGGAGGGTGCGGGTTCGAATCCCGTCTGCTGCCTGGCCACGTGGATTTTTTTCTAGTAAAATTTTCTTTAGATTTAAACATCTAACAGTTTAATGCTAAAAAATGTAACTTTTATGAAGATACAATATCTGTACAGATAAAAAGTGTTTTTAGTATAGACAGGAATTAATGATTTTACGTCCTAAGGAAGATTGAGGCGCAAAAAATATTAATGTTAACTTGTTTTTATACAGGGTGAAGAGACTACATTAGTTCAAAAGATTATTTCATTACAGTTCTTTCATCCAACAAAAGAAACAGAATAAAAGGACTAAAGAAAGGTAGGATATATTGAATTTTATTTTAAACTTTCATGGTCACTAACATTATAGTGTTACTAACACTATAATGTTAGTGACCATGAAAGTTTAAAACAATATATCGTTAACCGGTACGGGCCGGAAACAGTAAAATTAATAAAAGATCTAGAACGCGCGCGGAAAAAGTGTGAGTGTTTAAAGGAATCACTATCATTCCTAGTGAAGTGTCGTAATTCGGACCTTATCCCCATATGTGTCAAGATAAAACCACGACCAGACATTCATGGATCCGCGAGTGTTCTGCGAAATGCGAGTAAAAAACTATTGCGAAAATCGATACGTAATTGTAGGTACCAATTGGACAAAGGTCAGTGTGAGTTATACCAAATCCATCTCAAGTGCAGTGAAACTCTTTCGACAGGTGATTTTGATATTTGCGATCGTGTTACCTACTTACAAGCCCAACGTACCAGGGAACTTAGTGCTATGAAACAAGATCGTAAGTTCGAGTTATTGTTAAAAAGACAAAAGTCTGATGTCCCCTACTACGAGAACTCACTACCATCTCGAACGGTTATCAATTTGTCGAGCATTGAGTTAACAGACGCTGCACAGTCAGTTCTTGAAAAGGGGATGAATTTCGCTATTACACCCAGACGCATCCCCTATGAGGAGGTGATTGGGTCGGTTGAAGAAGGGATCATGCGTAACAAGATACCAGCAATCGATGCGGATACACTTAGACAAGATGTTGCTGTGGTGTTACGTCATGTGAAGCCACCAAGACCGAACATTACTTCCTCCGAATCAGCTGCGTTACAAGATCTTCGAAAGAACAAGAATATAATAATACTTAAAGCTGATAAAGGGAATGCGACAGTCATAATGGACATCACTGAGTATGAAAGTAAGATTCATAGTCTACTCACTGATGAAAACACGTATATTAAGGTGAATTACAACCCAACGGTGAGGACTGATCGAAGCACTCGCTCACTTATAAAAGAATGTGCCTACGCTCTAGACGACGATACCGTCAAATATTTGCTGCGTCCTAGAAACGTCCAACCTCCAAAACTATATGGTCTGCCTAAAATACATAAGCTGAATGTGCCGCTACGTCCGATCGTGAGTCAGATAGACTCACCTACGTATGAACTGGCCAAGCACGTAGCAAAAATATTGCAGCCGTTAGTGGGACGAACATCGTCATTTGTAAAGGATTCCCGCCATTTCGTGGAAATCTTACACCAAAACAAGGTGGAATACAATCAGTTGATGGTTAGTTTCGACGTGGAATCACTTTTCACAAATGTACCTGTGTTGGACTGTCTGGAAGTAGTAAAGGTGAAGTTGCAGGACAATGGCATCCCGACAGAATATGCCAAGTTGTTACATCATTGTTTGTCAACGAACTTCTTTATATACCAAGGTCAGTACTACCTCCAAATAGATGGGGTGGCAATGGGCAGTCCGGTAGCTCCAGTAGTAGCCAATATATGGATGGAGTATTTTGAGGAAAAAGCTTTCGTCACCGCCCCCACAGAAATTGCACTATGGAAGAGGTATGTCGATGACGTATTTTGTGTTTTGAGAGGAAACAAAGAAGATGTCGAGGCACACTTGGCAAATTTGAATGGAGTCCATACCAAAATGCGGTTCACATATGAGATGGAAGAAGACCGAAGTCTGGCCTTTCTTGATGTAAAGATTCGAGTGCGGAATGACGGTTCGCTGAGTCACTCCATTCACCGCAAAGCTTCACACACAGACCGTTATCTCAACGCCTCCTCGCATCACCACCCTAAACATATAAATTCTGTAGTCACTTCACTGACGAACCGTGCATATGACTTATGTGACAAGGAACACCTGCACGAAGAGTTGGAGCATGTACGGCAGGTCTTACAGAATAACGGATACAAGGGAAAGTTTCCACCCAAACACAAATTAAGACACCAGAAACACAAAGTAGACAGGCAACCACTATTTTTGCCATATGTCAAAGGAGTGACAGACAAGATCTCTAACATACTTAATAAGTACTCACTGAATACTGTCTTCACTCCTTTACAAAACGTATCACAGATTCTACGGTCTCCTAAAGATAACTTCCCCTTGGAGAAACCTGGTGTATACAAGATCGACTGCAGCTGTGGTAGTTCTTATATTGGCCAAACGAAGCGGACAATAGCGTGCCGAATGAAAGAACACATTAAAGCAGTCAGAAATAATGATACGCAAAAATCAGCCATCGCGGAACATTTAATTGATTCGGGTCCTAATCACTGGATTGAGCTCCATAATCCACAAATTATCTCGACAGAACGCCACTACATACCAAGATTGGTCAGGGAAGCGATTGAAATAACCAAACACAAGAATTTCAATCGTGAGGATGGGTTTAAATTGTCTAGTGTGTGGAATCCAGTGGTTCGTATGTGTAAAAACCGCAAAAATCAAAAAAGTGTCGTTCCGCGATCTGATACTGTGAGTATTGTGTGCCGGGAACAAATGCGAGTGAATAGTGAGAATGTGACCAATGGTAGTGGTAGTATCGAACGCAGTAAAAGACGACGTCAGAGGGTAGACCGATATGTCTGCCAATAACATCTACCCGCAATTACTTCAGTTACTCCGTGATCATGGCGCTTGCAACAGTGCCGAAATATCGGAGACTCATAAAAAACAAGGTACATGGTAACAATCCCGTTAATATCTATAATATAAGGATATATTGAACTTCTCAGTCGGATTGCGCCGCCTGGCTTGGAAAGGAAAGGCAGTAAGGGAATAACTGTGTACATCTATCCAAAAAAACGTACCCACGTATAACTATTGCAGTGTATTGTTGTCAGAGTGCCCCATAGTTGATGATTTACTGTATTTTTATACGAAGCCTTAGATTTAAACGTTGTTTTAATCTAAGAACGAAGTGCAACAAATAACCCCACCCCAACTGATGTTAAGTGTAAGTGGAGTGCAGTCGCAAGGAAGATGATGCGGCAGGAAGTGTGCCGCACCATTCATCCTCACCTTGCCGCCTTAACCCAATCCCCTATCCCGCGGAGCCCTGGAACACAGCTAACCAGCAGAAACACAACACCACCAAAGGGTATTGGTATTTTAGGCCCGTATTACAGAATGACAACTAAGTGTTGATCTTTACTTGAGTACAGTTAGAAAGGGATGTCGCTATGTGATATATATAGCGTCATCCCTTTCTAACTATGGTCAAGACTAGATCAATCACTAAGAATCTTTGTATAATACGGGCCTTAATAAGGTAAGGTAGAGGTTGCTTTTCCATACGGACACTCCAATTCTAGCGAAATCCCCACTGTGCTCTACCTTCATAAATTTTCTTCATTATATAATATATAATAATATAATAATATTTCCGACACTCACACCAATTAGCCTAGCCCCAAAGTAAACACTATAAGGCTTGTGTTATGGGATGCTAGGGTAACGGATAGAATACATATACTGTACATATATAAGTATATTTATATAAATACATATTAAACATCCATGACTGGAGTACAAATGCTCGTATTCATCACACAAACATCTACCCCCACCGGGATTCGAACCCGGGACCTCTCGAGTCGGCGACAGCCATGAAACCCGGCGTACAAACCACTCGGCCACGGAGGTCGTCAAATCTATATTACAGGCATTATATATTATAGGCATTTTTTTTATTCTAAAGTCTAACGAACGCAAATATAAGTCGTATGTAAAGTCTATTCAAAACAGGATTGTATTGGTCAAATTAAGTTGTCCAATCATAGCGACAACAAATGTTACGAAACTAGTATTTGCATTTCGGCATTGCGTGCCGGGCCACGCACGCTCGCCTGGGCCGCTTGTGAAAATTAAAAGGAGCCCTTTCTCGTAATTTTCCGTAACTCCCGCAGATCTGAAGTTAAACTGACCCACTGCCCTCGATCAGCAAGAATAATAAATTGTGTTCCATTGTTTTTGTATAGATTTGGGTAGGTAGTTACTTTAACAAGGTCTGTTTTTAGCATAGTTTAAAACATCCGAGCCGGGTTAGTCTGTATTACTCTGAATTCGTTAGTTTGAATATCATGCTTGTGTCAGGGCTACTACTGCCTACAATTATACTATAAACGATATCCCAAGTTAACTTATAGTTTTACCATGATCCACCACAACTTAACTCAGATACTCCTAGTACCTACTAAGTTTGTAATTTGGCATGGATATACTTATATTAGTCATACGGACAAAGAGTTAGAAAACAAAATAAAATCTTGAAAAAAAGTATTTTTTGGGGACGT